TCAACAAAATGTGTGATTTGACTGTGGGCACCCCAATTTTTGCATATATATACATATATATATATATATATATATATATATATATATATATATATATATGTGTGTGTGTGTGTGTGTGTGTGTTGACACTGACAGAACAGAACAAAACCTTTCCATTTTATTTCATCTTATATAGTAGTTTTCCTCTGACCTGCAGAAAAATGTCTTGCTTTCTTCTGCATCTTCAAACTACATCTGTCTATGTGTATACTGGATCCATCTGTTTATCCATTGTCTATCCATCCATCCACTGATCCGCCCACCCATCCCATGTCACTGCCTTTCTTTTCTTTCTTCCTGTTTCAGTGAATAAATTCAAAATACTGCCTTCTCACTTCATCTCTGGTTGATTGTCTTAATTTTCGCTTCTAGAAAACGGTGAAAGATTTGCATAAGACACCCTTTAAACATACATTTAAGTCCCATTATTATGCCATCTGAATTTCTATATCCATTATGTGTATTACTTCAGAATAGAGTACATTTATGGTGCTTTGAGCTTTGAAGATAAAAGAGAGAACCCACAAAAGAGAGTTCTATAAAAGCGGCATGTCTGCTGCATAGCCATGTAGACCTGGGGCTGAACAGTTTTCTAACACTGTTTAATTCTTCCTAAATTTCAAACATCATGACAGAGAAGAGTGGTTGGCTTGAAAGATCTCAGATATGTCTGGGGAACAATGCATACTATACTAGTGAGCACACAAAGATACTACAATAGTGTTGCACATAACACGTATCACTGCAAATAAAAGAGATGGGTGTGTGTTTTCTTGTGTGTGATCCAAAGATCCAATGACCTGGAAGGGATTGTGCTTCCTTTCAAAAAATCTCATGCAAATTCAACTTGTGCCTTGCACTGACAAAGATAACTGAAGTAGAACTAACATACTACCAAAGTTTGTCAGCAACTGACAAATTCAATAATGACCTACAAAGGAGACCTGTCTCTAGTGGCCAATAAACGGACTATTGTTAGTTACAAGCCCATATTTCAGGATCATTTGCAGTAGTACCTCAGTTACTATCTTTCCAAGCCCTCAACCCCAACCCCTTTAACATAAATGCACACTCACTTCCATCTACAGCCAGGCCAGTTACAGACAAATGGCTTCTCTCCAGTATGTCTCCTCAGGTGAGCTTTCAGATGGCTGCTCTTGGTGTACATCTTGGCACAGCCTGGGAAGTTGCACTTGTGCATTTTGATAAGATCCGCCACTGGATTCTTCTGGAACTTCTGAGTTCCTCCAACTAGAAGTCCATCTTGGATCCCACCCAAGGCCACACCATTCTCTGCACTCCCAGCAGGCTTTGCCGCAATGGGCACAGGGGCTATCCGCACAAATTTAGTTGCACAATTAAGACCAGTGGCTGCTGAAGCTGAGGAGGCGGCAGTGGGAAGAAACTGAGGAACCAGTGCGAATGTCTGCCCCTGGATGTTCAGCAGCAACTGAGCAATTTTGATGTCTGCAGCTGGAGATGTCTGAGTTGTTGGGGAAAGAGTGGCAGACCCAGTAGGTCCTTGATTCTCCTGTTTGATCTGAATTGGTTGGATTTGGAGAATTACAGGCATCCCAGTACTGCCACTATTACCACTGCTTACACTGGTGTTAATGCCATTCTCTGTGGACAGAGGTGTACTTTGGGCCTCCTTCTTTATCATATCCTGTGCCTGAGTGCCTATTTCTGGAGTACCTGCGGTATTTGGCATGCTTTTGGTCTCACTGGCAAACCCAGAGCTGAGTGGATGCTCAGCCACTGGCACAGTTTGGTCAGAATTATGCTGAGACCCAGCGGTGCTTGTCTCTGACACCCTGGGTGAGGCTTCTTCCATGGCTTCCACTCCCATTGCCATCCCCAGGTCAAGCTCCAGCTCCAACCCTAAGGGGAAGCCCCCTTCTCTGGGTTCATGTTTGAGGGACACCACTCCATTCATGTTCTCTTCAAGGAACTCCTCAATTTCCTCCAGAGTTGGTTGGAAAGGCTCAACAGATGCCTCCATGTTTGACGAGGACCAAATTGGAAAGTCAAAGTTCTCTTCCTTCACATCATCCTTACGTGAGTCCCAGAGAATGCTCGCCAAAGTAGTCGGGGTTACAGTGCTCGCTCCCGCATTGCCACCATTTCCCAATGAAGCCTGGGCCAGCAGGAAGTTGAGAATGCTATCCTGGCTCTCAGCACTGGATGTGCTGCCATAGCTGGAGCCAAGGACTTGGGAATCTGGTGAGGAGCAGGAACGCAGACTTGATGCGTCGCTGAGGTCGTCCTCGGAGAATGGTGAAGGCATCACCTGATAGCTCCCCAAGTCTGACACCATGTCCGACAAATGGTGCACGACAGGTGAGGCAGGGTCAATGCTGCCGTAAGACAGAAAGTTCTCTTCAATCGAGAGAAAGTGATCCACCATTCCCTGGATCTACCCTCTTATCCAGATGTGTGAGCTAGTCCAGTTTTTGTGAATTGTAGATTCCTGCTTCAATGGTTATTCCTTAGATTATGGCGAAGTCATGCCGTCATCTCTCTCAAAACAAGAAAGAAGTGGCAAGTTTTTGCTTTTCTTACACAAGGAAGGTTCATTTCGAGGTTGCACCTATACCCAGAGAGTAAAAAGAAGGTCAGATACTTTTTAACATCACATTCTCTCAGTTACTAAATGTTAATTCTTTGATATTTTGATGACATAAATTTGTATGCTACCCCCCAAAAGATCCACTCACATTTTACTCATCTGTCTTTAAGTTGGTTAGACAATGTGTCAGCAGAGCAATGAACTGGCCTACCAGTACCATGTGATTAAACACAGCTTCATCAGCTACATCACAATGTCATATCATGGCACAAGGGTGGGCTTTGCTCAGGCACACAATATTCAAGTATGTAACATATACAACTCAGCATGTCGACAGTGTTCCTAAAGAGCACACGCCTTCAGCACTCTTATTTCAAAGAGTCGACATGATTGAAAATAACTGATATTAAATCACATATCGAGTATATGGTGACCACAATAGACATAAACGTTGCGGTCAAGTGTCTCTAGACCAGGGCTGCCCAACGGTCGGTGGGCCTAAAGTTGGCTTAGGAGGACGTTTGATTTGGCCCACCAAAAAGTTACCCTAACCCACCGCAACCCAAAAAACGAACAAATATACTTTTATATTATAGCTTATATAATTTGAACACCTCATTTTCCTTTGAAAATTGGATTTTTTGGAGTAATTTAATAACATAGTTATAGTGATGTTGTATTAGTGTATAACACTTGAAAACTGGCACTTTGAATTCACATGACTCAATTGGCAAAACAAGTGAACTTGATGTAATATTAAAAAAAGTGACACATTTGAATGATAAACCATTTTTGTGGTGCAGTAATATATACTATATAATAATATCAAACCACAAAACCCAGATTTAAAACATACCTACCTTCAGTATTTGTATACTGTTTTGTCTTTTTGGCCCTCAAACATTGCACTTTGGCCCCTCAAGACAAAAAATTGTGCACCCCTACTCTAGACTCTTGATAACAGGCGCAGTTAACTTTGTATTAATAACAGGTCTACACACTTAAGTCACCAACAGAAGCTCATCATGACGTGATGTTAAATAACATTTACAGACTGAAGAACGTTTCACGTCATTTTTCCAGTTATTTCCTTACACAAACATTCGCATAGATGTCTAATGTCTAAACAGATCTGTATGAACGGTCTCTACAGTAGGTTACAGTGCTGGAGCTGTTGAATCACTGAAACGCTGCACACACGCGCCCCTCAACGACGGCCAGCGTAGTTTATTTTCCAGCGCCCAGTGACCGACAGTAACCTCCGCGCGCCACTCACAAACTGTCAACATGATTAACATGAAAGAGCGCGCGACGCACAGGGCGCATTTAACGGCCGCGCGCGCCACGCAGACAACCAAAAAAGCAATAAATTTACTTCAGTCAGCGAGACCAACGCTCCAGCCATGTCTCGGTCAGTTTTTATAATCGATAACCGTTAATCGCCCATCTTTTCCTTTGCTCTACTTAATTAACACGTTATTACACACCAAATAACTACATGGCATTCAAAGTATTCACAACGCTGGAGCTACTACACTTAAATGAGTCTTAATTTTGCACGTATGTGCACGTGCATATTCGAATAATTTGTTTATATCGTGTGCCTACTGCCTTTTTCTCGTGCTGTGCAAATGCTTGTAAAAAATGTGCGTGAAAATGTCCTCCCTCTGCCGCGTGGCGATTTGTTTTCTGTCATCCAAAGCTCGACGGAACGTCACATTTCCTTCTCTAGAAGTCTTTGAATCAGAACATGTATTTCTGTCAATATGAATTCAGTAAGAACTGCGCGTGTGTCTCATGGCCCCGTCTCGAGGCGCCTGGGCGAAGGTAAACGCGTGAAAGGGGCTCGAGCTCGATTTCACGTAAACATGTTTTCGTCTCAGGCAGCGCGTGTGCTGCTGCAGCAGAGCAGCGTGGACGCACACGCCCATGCTCTCGCGCAAGACCGTGCCAAGTTCATGTGCGGAGAACCGAAAAGCGCGAGCGTCTTACCTGTTTGTTTCCCAGAAAAGCACGAGTGTATCCGAGGAGTCCGTCGCGATTGAGCTCGCGCTCCTCGGCGTTAAGAAAGAGTAAAGCGTGCTCGTAATGAGTAACGCGCCCTTGAGCCACGCCGCGCCGTGTTGCTACAGACTGGCCTGCTCCACACGGCACGCTGGTTGTACTATATCTGGGTCACGTGACTCCCCTCAGTGTTTGTGGAGGCGAGAATGAGAGGCAGGCTGCGAAGGCTCGTCCCGATGGCGCGCTCTCATTGGTCCGCTGCCTTGCCTGGGTGGGCGGGTCTCCTCTGCTGTCGTCAGTCAGAGGGGCTCCTGCATGTGTGTGTGTGTGTTTGCGGAGATGTGTGTGTGTGCGTGTGCGCGTGAATGCTGGGTAGAGAGAGGAAAAGGCAGTTTCCATCTTTTCCTTCCCCTCTTTATCTGCCCGTTGCACAAGCGAGGGTTACTGACAACTGCAGAAGAAAAAGCAGCTGTGCTAAAGCCACTCATTTGACTGCAGCTCGGATTTGGGGGTTTGTACCACTTCCGCCAAAGCCCCCTAGGATTTGAGCACTGATGCTGATCCAAAATCTAGAGCACTATAAACAGCTGTAATCTACAGAATGCTAATATGCCATCAGGGGTATTTAACCCAAAATTCTGCAGGTCTGGTCACATAAAAATCTTTGCTTACCAGGGCTGTTTCTTGCTGCAAGCAGTTTGAGCACAAGGGGGCCCTTGAGTTTGTCACTTTTGTATTTATTGTTTCAATATTTTATGCAGAAAACATTTATTAGTTTGTTTCCTAAATAAATAAATAAAAAGCAGAAATGACATACACATAAACTTCATGTGACACACTTTGTAATTCTTTTTGTTCGATTTTTTTATAAGAACTGTTTCATTTTTTTGCAGATTCGGTTGTAATTGTAACTGTTTTGCCATTGTTCCATTAGCATTTAATTAAAAGGGAATTCCACAGATGTTTCAAAATTTCTGCATTATTCAGTGGTTGAGATGTAAACAAAGTCATTCAGAGTGGTTTGATTTGAAATGGTTAATTGTAGAGAAACTTACAGACTCAGATTCCTTTACAGTGGTGGTGATAGGAACCAGGGGTCACAATGTCTATAATGCAAATATAGCCACTGTATTCACTATTCAAAACCACCAGTAAACATACATGTGTCTTCTGAGTTTTAATGTGCAGTGTTGATCATGATAAAATAGTGGTAAATCTGAAGAAAATAGGTTTTCATTGAGGACAATTTTGCCTTACAATGCTCTGCATGTACCCCTCCATCAGGATGTTTTATGATAGTCAAATCTAAACATGTCAGGCATGACAAGGTCATTAGCAATCATTTCAAAGTTTAGGGCTAATATTTCTAAATGCAGATGAACTATAGCCAGATCATTTTTAGATATGTTTATCTGCTTTTATAAGCACTTAAATCCTTTGTTGGAGATACTGGACCATGGTCTGACCCCTGCCAAGATTTAAAAGGCAAAGACTAGATAATGATGTCCTATTTACACTTACAGATAGAAATATTTTTTCTTCTATTTTCTTTTCACTCAGTTCAGTATGCCCTAGATGCCAGTCCTGGTGCCTCCTATTTCATCACACAAAAGTACCATCAGCCAGTGGGCAAAGTCTCTGCATGCTATGGTCACACCTGAGAAATAACATCACTATATCTCCCCACTGTCAATGCAGGGTCAGTGCACCGGCTTGTCTTGTAGATTGTATCAGTGTTCTCATGATCAGCTCGCAATATGTGCCACTTCAAAGGCCTTTAGAAATTCATAAGGATCCAGAATAGATACTATTATACCTGTACAACACTAGACTATATCTAATAGAGAAAAGAATCTTAGACATGCATGATATGACATCTGGCATCTGTACTATATAGGGTAGCGCTAGTGACAGTACTTGTCAGTGGGGTCAACGCATGGGGTCAGACTGTAATTAGCAGCAGATCTAACATCCACGTAGCAACCTACCACTACAGGAGAAGAAACAAAAACACGCCAGGGGTCAATATAGGTCGATCTGCACAGGAGGGGTAAACACAGGTCATCCTGCACAGCCCAGCGAACACAAGCAGGAAACTGCGCTGCCATTAAACTGCACTTGAACACACTGTTTGTTTTTGTCATTTTCGGTGATGTGAAAGTGTCCCATCTCAAGGTTATTCTGGGGAAATCTGGTAATTAAGCATATCCACATAATTGTCTGGGAGGGTGTTTTAATTTAGCCCTTTCGCTTCCTCCACACCCAGTGAAGCACACAAAAATACCCACAACTGAACAGAGTGAGCAGATCAGCAGGGCAGAGCAGCATGGGCATGGATGTTCTCTGTGGTGTCTGGTGAAATCTGGCTTTGTTTGGCATCTGGAAGAAACAGAATAATAGAAGAAATAGAACAGCTGCTAACTGAAAGCTAGCTGAAAATGATTGATGGATATGACTGTGAGCTAATCGCAAACCAGTAATGAACACAGATTGCTCTGATCACACAGCAGGGCCACCAGTTTTATTCGCAAAGGGCTGTTGTGGATGCAGGTTTTCATTTCAAACAAGCAGTACATCTCATTCATCTGATACATATTTGAAGACTGAGACCAACTATTTAAACCACCAGCTCAAATTTGTATTACATACTACTATAAGTTATGAATAGCTCAGCCAGTTTGCACTGAAGTCCTTGCACTGAACAATAAGCTTTAGTATGGAATGAGCCTGGGATTTTAAGGAAATCAGGTGTGCTTCTGCTTGACTGGAATGAAAACCTGTAGTCACACTGGCCTTTTGTGGGTGAAAGTGGTGACCCCTGATTAGGATTGCCATCTCAGCTGTATAAAACTACTGGAAAAAACAACTGTGTGGGCGGAGCCTGCTGCAGCACAAATTCTCATTGGCCGAATGGGCTGTAAGCTGAACTTGATGTGCATTCCACAGACACTTTGCTGCATGCACACAGATTACAACACAATAAAACAACTATGCATGGTTTCCCCAAAAGTAGTTAGCTAGACTTTCTGGCTCATGTCCACCCCTGGTTATAGCTAGTATTTGCCACCATGCTAATGTCAGGTCAGCTGCACAATAAAAAACTACACCTGATCAGTGCGGCCTTTTACACACATATAAAAAAATATCATTTAAAATTAATAACACACTCTAAATGTCTGACTGAATGGGATTTTCAGGCAACTCAGTGGGTAAGGAGTTGTATTAACGCCCATGTTGTTTGGCAGAGGGAGCAGTAGCCAAAGTTTTCCTTTGACCTGCCATAACCCTCTAATGCACAGAGCACACAGCTGTACTTCACGTTGTGATACACTGAGGGTCTCGCTAGTGAAGGGATTACAGTGCCCAGACACTGAGAGCCCCACACTCTAACACAGCAATCACAGACCGTCTATCACAGGGATTAGACTATTGCCTTTGCCCCAGTTACACACAGACACACAGGCACACATGCCCATACCCGCTGCATAATGCTTTTAATCAGAGTGAAGCAATGATGATAGCGACTGGCACTGAGAGTAGAGATGCTTAACTGCTCCATTAGGGAACTCTGGGAATGGCACAGTGAAAATGAGTTAGGAAATCAAAAAAGAATGAATTTCAAAGCATCATTTGAGGGTTTCTTTTTTCCTCTGGTATAGAAATGCAAATATCAATGCAATTCTCAAACTGAAACTAAAACAGTGGTCTGGTGGGTCCCTAGGTAGGCCCTAGCCGAAATATCAAATTCACAAAATGACCCCCCTACCCCAAATGTAGTAGAGTGGGATGACTGTATGTCACATAACAAAAATAGTAGTGACCATCGTAACGCTTGAATATTATCAATTTTTGTAGATTACATGGTCATTCCACATCAACTAACCCAGGGCCTTTCCACATCTTAAGTTTCCATGAAAAAACTTCAACTTATGCAGCCATGCAAAATTTCAAAACTGTGCTCCAATCATTTGTCTAGTTATGAATTTGTAAAGGCCCTTTTAAAGGCTTTTATATATTGGGTCTAAGTGCAGGGCAATGGACTGGTGACCTGTCCAGGGTGTATCCTGCCTTCCGCCCACTGACCGCTGGGATAGGCTCCAGCTTCCCCATGACCCAGAAGGATAAGCAGCTTAGAAAATGTGTGTGTGTGTGTGTGTGTGTGTGTGTGTGTGTGTACGTACAGAGTGACTGAACGGAGCTGGAATATTAACTGGGTGTAAGTGAAAACTATTTTGCTTTAAATCAATAGGTTACAACAGGTTCATTTATTGGAGAATGTACTTTTTATGTCAGATTGTGCTGTCTGTAATCCCAAAATTGTTTTTGCAAAATTTAGGTATTATGTAGTGTTCCTACATTTCTAGCAAATCATCATTTGCAGAATTGCTCAGTTTTGCACGCAGCATCTGAAACTAAACCATGGGTTCAACATGGCTTGCCAACAAAATCTATTTTTCTAATTTTTTTCTCAAAGGGGTCTTAATCCCCTTAATTTCCTTCAAACTTTCTCCTCATTAAGAACCATTGTGTCTGATTAACAGAAAAAGGAAAAATTACTACTAAAATAAACTAAAAATTAAAGACTACTTTAACATTTTAATATTTCAATATTAACTGTATAATTGAGATGCATTTTAGAGTATGATGGGCTAAATTTAAAAGAATCATAACTAAAAAAAATTACATCATTACATTAAAATGAGTTAAACTGAGTTAAATTGATGTTTTTGCTTGAATTTTTTCACAGGAATTCATGATGTGATTGGACATACCCTAGATGAGTTGAAATTGAATGACCCATACAATGTCATACAGTATCAGAAACCACATTAGCAGGTCTACCTAAGATTACTTAGCAATTTGAAGCCATTTGAGACCAGTGTGTGATGACGCAGGTTGCACAATGCTACAATTAGTCATTCAGTTCCATGAATTGTTAACTACATTAGTCTAAAAGCAAAACTAAAGCAGCAACCTTCAGACGCCAAACATATCTAGACTAATGTCACATAAGAAAAGCAAACGTTTGGAACATATTTTGTTGATCTTCTAAGGACAAATAAACTTCACATCCTCTACAGAGAACAAACGTCTGCACATTTTAGCTGATTGTCTTAGCTGATTGACTATATTTGGAATAAAACTGATTTAACTTTAACTGCTTTAGCTGGATATGTCTTTGCTTGCTCACAGCATGCCTGTGGCCAGAGGTCTTGCACAGTTTCTCACTTTGAGTGAAAGATGGCACAGTCATTCTCTCTCCCTTGTCATTAAGTGACTCACCAGCAACTTTATGGTCGTGTTGCTGAATGCAATGATGGACCCTCTCCTCAAGTATGCTGAGATGCTTGTCAAACCCAGCGTCAAAATCTGTGTACAAAGAAGGTAAAAACCTTGTTGGAGGTTCATCACACAGCGTATCAGTTAACTGAATAATCACACGTGAAAAACATTAACAAACACTTCAGCTGCATGATTCATCTGCTTCGAAACAAATGCGAACAAACCTGTCTCATCATAAGCTGTAAACAAAGCCATCTCATTTCAGCCCACACCATCTCGAAGATAAACACATCAATTAACACAAGCCTTTTGTGGGATGTTTTGCTGTCTGTGTAAGAACTAGCCAAAGAAACACACACACACAGAGCTTCCCAGAATGGGCACTATTCCTGGACACATCCATCATTCTTATTCCCTGCTATTTTAGCTTATTATAGATATTCGCAGAAGACTATAACGGTAATCCACCTACAAGGCTAGCATTTGCATGAAATGAAATATGGACACGCGAGAAGTCTAACAAGTGTTAAAGGGATGGCAATGTGTGAAATACATGCGCATTAGGCCTGAAATAAGCCTGCGCGTCACAAACAAACAACACTCACCCTCTGTTTTGCTAGATTTTTTGTTATGCTCCAAAAGCAAACCAAGAACATGCTTATCTGAGCATGGAGAAAAACAAGTTCTTTCACCTGACGTCTAAAAAGACACCTATCTGTCATCGTTGTGGATGTTGACCCTCATAAATGGCTCTTGTTTGCCACTCCTGGCTGCTTATCCTGGCAGCGAGCAAACTGTTTGCAGAGTAAAGCGTTTAGACGATAGCCTCTGAACAAGGCCTGATTAATGTTTAGCAGGGAGAACAGGGACATCCACTGGCACTAACACATGCAGGCCACACACTTGGGAGAGCTGCTCTGAGATATCTGCTAGCTTTAGCTCAGATCCAAGACTAATAGGCTTTAGGTGAAAGCACAATGCTAGTTTAGCTTACAGTCTTAATCATTTACTTTCACATGTGAAGTTTTTTGACAAAACTCTGATGGGTATGCATGTGTGCTCTTCAGGTTTTGATATTTTTAATACTAACAACACTAATAATCAGCTGTATTATGATCTAACAGATACAGTGAGCCCTCATGGTCTTATAAACTTCTGCAGAATCCTCAACTTCTTCCACAAAAGAAATGGTCCTCAGTCATCAGTCAACCTTGACCCTGCACTGTAAATTTTGAAATGGTCACTTTGCACATCAGTATTGCTGCAACTTTATCTAGATCATCGCCAAGTGCTTTCAGAGCTAACAGTGGAGCAATCCTCGCTCCACATCATGTGCCATGAGAGGAGGGGACTGGGGAACAGACCCCAAGAGCCAAGATCTGCCTTGTGTGTGTGTGCACAAGCACATGGCAATGCAGATGGACATATAAATTTAACTTGATGTGCTGTAGTTACAGTCATAACAAGACACTGATTAGCAGGCAGCTTTGGGAAGATCTGCTTCTTGCTATAAGCAGTATGAGCAATCACTTAGGACGTTGAGCCATAAGGGGCCAAACAAGTTGTTTTTTCAATCATGATTTTGATGGAAAGATATCTTATAGAGACATCACTGATGACTTCAGGAAAGTAGGAACGGGGCTCCTGAGTGTTGCATTGGTCCCATCAACAGGTGATCACAAGTTTAATCCCTGGTGATGCCACAGCTGTCCATGGCTGGGAGTCTCTGGGTGGGTCCTCCTTCTCCCCCTATGCCTCAGTACAATGCTAGCCAGCGCAGGCGTTTGTTAGCTGACATAACAGAACTGTGTTCTCCTCCAAGCACGTTCAGTTGTCCAATGATGTTGCATTAGCAGCAGTTTAAAAAGATGTGGTGGTGCTTTTCATGACTCAGAGGAAGCATGTATTTGCCTTCACCCTCCTAGCGCTGGTGGTATCATGTGATAGGCCTCCCCCAAACAAGTGGGTGGAACTGGATATGACTAAACTGGGGAGAAAATTGTTAAAAAATAACCCCCACCCCAGTTGTTATTTATTTATGTAGAAAATGTAGTTCATTTTAAATGTCCATTTTGTCTGTATATAATTAAATATAGTTTTTTATTATGTTTACATTGCAAGTCATTAAACTTTTTTCCTGATCAAAATTATTCATTCTTGCAAACAAAATAACAATCAGTGTAGGGTAAAACTGTCTGTGACTTATGAATGCATTTCTGCAGGAGTTACAGCCTGTGTGTGTGTGTGTGTGTGTGTGTGTGTGTGTGTGTGTATGTGTGTGTGTGAGAGAGAGACAGAGAGAGAGAGAGAGAAGCGTATCATTACAGTCCTACAGTGCACTAATTGAACTGTACAAATATACATAGTGTTACAACACATTTCAGCCTGTTCTCACTTCTGTGCTTGGCTGTTGTTATTTATGATCATTCACAGAGATCCCTCAGTGCTGGCAGAAAACTCCACAGTTAAGAAATCAGTCTCCCAGGGCCAGAATGGACATCAGCAAAGAATCAGATGAAGCCTTTTTTTCCCTTTTGACATCTTAGTGTGTTCAACAAGAAAATCATTGCTTACACATATGAATAAACAGGGAATGAAATGATCAGTACATAGAAATATCACAAAACAAGTGCAGTAAGACAGTAAACAGCGACACCATTTTACTGGAGTGGATAACAGAATAATCAAATGAGTCATTTTAGTGAATGTATGAACCTATAATGGATGGATGGATGAATGAATGGATGGATAAGCCATGGTTTAACAATGGATAAAGTCCATCAACGCCACCGCCACATTACAGCATTAAATGAAACTGACTGGAGTCTCTAGTCTTCACAGGACTGCTCTGTATGTTGTGCTGCAGTGCCACCTGCTGTTCAGAGAGAGAGATAACACGTAAATTAATGTCGGCATGGTAACAGAACGCAAACGCGGAAACCGCTTCATTACTGAATTCTAGAACGGGCCTTTAGGGGATTCTGAAGCCTCGAGTTTTCTCAGAACTCGTTTACGAAAAGCCCTCTTTTCCCTCATATCAGTGATTCATGGTTTTTGCTTCAGGTAAGCTTACATCCTAATTTATTATCCTTATTCTTAAAATCTTGATACTAGAAATACTCTCTAAATAAAGAGTTTGCATTTCTTTCCTCACTGTGTTGCACCAGGTTCCTGCTACAGCACTGTGACTCGATGATTTTGGTAAACAACATCTTCTTTTCAGGTTCTCCATGAGCCTGACTAGCCACTTAAAATTGTGCTCGAGATTTGAATAAAGCGACTTTGCCCTTCTATGAAGCACATGTCCGAATACGGACAGCAGTATCTCGCCTAACTAAACTGCTTATTAGTACCAAACTTTGCTCTTCTGAAATCAAGGATATCAATAGGGAGTTTGTCCCCCTTTGCTACAGTAACAGCCTCTACTCTTCTGTGGAGCATTCACACTAGACTGTGAGGATTTGATTGCATTCAGCTACAAGAGCATTAGTGAGGTCAGGTTCTGATGTTGGATGATTCCAATTCCAGATCATCCCGAAGGTTTTAAATGGTGCTCAGTCTCTCCAAAGAATGCAGTTCCACTGCTCCACAGACTCATGCTGGGGAACGTTTATATCCCTCTAGCCAGTGCTTGGCACTGGGCGTAGTGACTTTAGGCCAGGGCTGAGGACCTGAGGACCTGAGGGCCTGAGTCGAGCACAATTTGTTGGTTTCTTTGCTCTGAGACATCAACAAAACTTGGTAATTGGTAATCCAGCCCTCCAGTGGCAGATTATACAAGCTGTGTGTGCAAAAATGAACACCTGTGTCAGGAATGGGTTCACCTTAACGTAGCTGAATTCACAAAATAGAATGGGTTTGTATGGATTTTTGGGTATATAGTGTATTTCTTCAGGGTTTCTCTTGCTGGACCAGTGGAGGCACTCAGATGCATCTCCGATGTGACCGATAGGCTGTATTTATTTATGCTGCAGGTTGCTTGATGTCTTTTGGAGGCTCTGAGTGGCATATGCTGATACTTAATCCATTTCTATTTTTGTCTGTCTTGCAGGATGCTGTCATCAGTATCTTCAGTGCAGAGTAAGTGCTTCTGTCCTGGGTCTGCCCACTAAATTTAATATACAGCAAGAATAAACATAGAACATAAACAGTAGCTCTCTGGGAGGCTACTAGCTTGGCCTATACAACACTTTGCACAGTTGTTAGCATAGTTAATGTCTGAAGACAAATCACATGCCACGTCTCACTATGCCTTCTTTATGATGGCTGTTAATTATGACCTTAACTCTGATGTATTGTCCTCCGGTTGACCACACAGTACAAGCAATTTGTTGCATATTGCTTGTCTATGGCCTATGTTTTGGCTTTTAGATGTAAAACACTACCAGCATTAATACGGTATTTGATTGTGAAATTTATAGTAACTTATTTTCGCAGTTCATGGAAGCAATATTTCAGTATGTGTATGTATTGTCTATCTATTTGTGTAGAGGATAGCCGTGATGGGACCAGGACAGAACCAAACCCGTTTAAAATGCCCAAAGACAACAGCATCTTTCTCATGAGGAACGCAGAAAAAGCTCGGAGGAAACAAGTATGTGGCCTACAAGGCAACAAGCTATTTTCAGTCAAGCTTTAATATAACTTAGCGGTGAGTTGTCTACTCGAGCGAGAGTGCCGGGGTTCTTAAACCGACTTGTCTTATGTCTTCCAGTAATTCTGTACTTTAGGTTATATTAACAACATAAACTAAAGCCAAGTTTAATGTGAATGTTACAGCCCAGATCTCAGCCTGCTAACTGCTGATGGCCTCTAGCAGAAAACACACCATTATTATTCTCATTATTGCCGTGCAGCTGTGCTGCTGCTCTATAACTCAACAATGTAATCAATCATTTAATTAACTGCAGCTTTATATGGGGCTGCAAGTCAAACAGCAATCTTATTTAAATTGCTGAGATGCTTGCAAAAATTAATTACATGCAAATATTTATTAGAGTGAGGGATCACAGATAAATGTCACAGTTCCTATAGCTTTATAAGTGTCAGCACAGGTGGATGCCATAAAGAGTAACAAGCTTATAAAATATAAGGCTGTAAAAAAGCACAGGATTGGCATGAACAAGAAGAATTACAAAAAACAACCCCCTGGAACCTCTTTGGTTTGGATAATGTTTCCATTTCAAGATTTCATGCTAGCCTCTGAAAAACACTTCTCAGATGTCATAATTCCATATCCGCTGAGACTGTTTAAACTTCTAAAAACTCTTTACCTATTATTGATGGCTAAAGACACAGATTTCAGCACAGTGTGTCTCTTAAGAGCTTTGTTCATCACAAAATTCCCTCTTCAGCATTCTGCATGTCAAGTTCAATCAAGAGTGAAAAAAAAAATGGACTATTTTAGCCAAGCAGTTCAAACTTATTTTATGATCTGGTTAAACTCAAGGCATTATGTCCCCCTGGAATTATAAGGTTCTATCTGACATTTTCGTCAAAATTGAGTTATTCACATGTTCTCATTCTGTGACAAATTCTTAACATTATGTGAGGTGTTTTTTGAGTTGTATGCATTTTTGGACTCTTTATCTAGAAAACAAAATCTCCACTCACTTAGTTCTATAAGGTTCTATCTGCGAGCCAATCAGCACTTTGAATACACACCAGTGGACCAATTAGTGCACTCGATTTGAATGAAGTGGCTTTATCCTCCTATGAAGCACATGTCCGAATACGAACAGCAGTATCTTGCCTAACTAAACTGCTTAACAAACTTTGTACCAAACTTTGCTCTTCGGAAATCAAGGGTATCAAATAGGGAGTTTGTCCCCCCTACTTTATCATGTCACTGCGTTGCTCAGTGACCACTGAGAAAGGAGTGCAGGAGTCAAATATGAGGAAAATGTCACAAGTTTAAGAGAAACTTCAAGATGGAGGATTTCATTGATGTTCTCATGAAGGACAACAGTACAAATTACAGGCAAGGTAAGTGTTTAACATTTTAGACCTTGCTGAGGAGTTTTATATTCATTGTTAGCTACCACGCTAGCCAGGTAACCAGCCATGAGATAGAACCTTATAACTCAAAGGGAACGGTTAATTAGTAATTACATCCCCTTGGTAGTAACGTCTCTTGGAATTATATGGTTCCATCTGCATTCTGACCAGTTTTGAGATATTGAGCTCCAAAAATTTTGCATTCGAAATAGCAGAACTGATATGTGGAACAAGTCTGTGTCATACATGAAAATGACAAAAACCCTAAATGTATTCTAAAGGTGCAGAGGTTAGTTTTAGGTAGGAACCATTAGTTTAAGCTCCCTTTAGGTCAGACAGCAACCAGCTACTGTAATAAACTGTCCCAGCAGGTAAGTGTAGCAGGTCAGTGTAAAGGCAGTGTGAGGTTTTGTTTTATATCAGAAATGTGACTCTAATGAGCCAACATGTCTTATTTTGGGAGAAAGAAGAAAAAAAGATAGATGAATGAATGAAATTCATGTTAATGTTGTATTTGTAATTAAATCAAATGTTTACTAATTAATTACCTTCAAGTCTTAATATTTATACCATTTTAGACAGTAAGACATTTTAAAGAACTACAAGAAGAGCAGAGTTTCAGTAACATGTTTTCATGTTTCATAAAGTTTTATAAACATTTCCTGCAGTCACTGAGCAGAGCGGTGGCATGACAAAGAAGCAGAACCAGATTGGTCCTCTTGTGTGTGTTCGAAGTGCGGATTGCCTTGCAGACAGAACCTTAAAGAACTAAGTTAGAGTTTGACTTTGGAGATTTTTTGACAAAAATGTCAGATAGAACCTTATAATTCCAAGCGGACGATAAGCTAAATATATAAAAAATAATTAAGTATAGGGTATGTTCTATTGGAAGGTATCTGTCCCAAACCCTAACCCCTAAATTTCAACTTGTGAAAATAATACTTACATTTTTTTGTACTTTTTTTAAAGATGTTTTTATTATTGTATTTCTTTTAAAGTGAAGATTAGAATATTTAGATTTATCATGAGTTTAATTTTTTAAATAAAAAAAAAAAAATTCAAAAAATGCTGTCACAAAGAGTGTTAGCCCATTGGCGGAGCCTTATTTTAGATACACCCTTGCATTTTAGATCAGGAAGTAACATTGCATCCCCTCACAGCCACATGGTGAGCAGTTAGATCCCACTGTTTTGAAGTAAATGTGTCCCAAATTTGAAAAACAGTCAGAAAACCTTAAGATCTGTCACTAATGAAACATATATTTTCAGCAATTAAGTAAACCTTTTTTGTATTTTACTGAAAAATATTATGATATGTGTGTACAACTGTTCAAAGCTGTGTTTGCATGTCATGTACTGGCTAGTGTTTGAGTTCTGCTCAAAATTTGCTAAAATTGTCAGTACCAAAACAGTCACTACCAAAACATTTCTCTAAAAACTCTTTGTCTGAAGTCTGAAATCTGTTTTGAACCAGTTCAGTAGAATGCTTATCCTTAGACACACTATTTACTGACACAACATTGACACAACATTTACTACTTTAACTGCTTAAAAAAAGTAAATTAAAAAGATGCAATCAAATTTGTTGCAGTGGTAGGTAATATTTGTAAAGTGAATAATACCACTGCCCTCCACATGGTAGTCCATGTGCTCAGACAAGCACCACACTATGCCAATAAGAGTCCTTGGGCAAGACTTCTGGTGCAGGTTGCTCTGGATAAGAGCATCTGATAAATGAGTACATGCAGTTTGATGCAGGTAGTGTGCAGTTTCATAGGTTTTAAATCATTTGCAGGAACATCAAGAATAAAATTATAATAAAATTGACATTCAGAAAGCTTCATATTTAAAAAAAAGTAGCAGTCAAATCTCAGGGCAGATAACTTGACAAGATGTTGTTAAAAGGAAACTACAGTATGTTATTTACGATTTAATAACTTCTTGTTGTTAAAGCAATAAAATAACAGTAGTCTAGGTCTGTGCCCATTTGTGTCATACACACAGTGTGAAATGTGCTGTTCTGTGTGTGTGTGTGTGGGTGTGTGGGTGTGTGGGTGTGTGTATGTAGGAATATCAGAAGGAGTTGTGTCGGCCTGTGCATGAGAAGAAGACGTACACTGGCAGAATGAGGGCCAGGCAATCTGAGCTGAGGATGAAACTCAGAGAGGGTCTGGAGGAGGAGGAGGAAGAAGAAAGTAATGCAAACCGCACACACACCACTGTCCAGCTCCTCCAAGACACACCTGCATGCAAGGTGGTCATGATCAAAGGTACGATATGAATGTGATGAAAAGCATAGAAACACACGCATGTATGCAGTACACATTCCCAGCTGTTTAACATCTGCTGCAGAGTATCTTCAACCTTCAAAACTGCTTTTATACCATCTGCATCTCTATAAAGACATAATTTCTTCCCAGTCATCAACTTTAAAGAACAGTATTTTGGGAAAAGCATAGACCAACACAGCATATGTGAAAGTGTCCTGACGCCCCTTCTAATTGATTCAGCTACTTTAAGATGCACCCATTACTTGCATAATCCCTATAGAAAAGCATTGCAAATAGAATGGGATGCTCTAGAGCAGCTGCACATGAGCCTAATGTCACCATGTTCAGTGTCACGCGTTGGCTAGAGAGCATTGGGCAGTGGAGCAGTGGTACTGTGTTCTCTGGAGTGATGGGCCACCTTAAGGATGAGATAGAGTGGCATTTGTAATCAAGAGCTAAACATCCAACATCAGTAGCTGACCTCACTAATGCTCTTGTCCCCACAACAATGTTCAAACATCTAGTTTAAAGCCTTCTTAGGGGCTGTTACTGCAGCAAATGGGGGACTTATTAATACCCTTAATACCCTTGATTTCAGAAGAAACCTTGCATGAGCAGGTGCGTAAAAACATTTGGGTATTTAGGCCCAAACCCATTTCTTATTTTTACCCCTACCCCTTGTTTTCGAGTGTCACCTTGCCCCTAGAAACTAAGTTACAAGGGTTAGTGGAGGAAATCTTCCTCTACAAAATAGGACCCTCAAATAAAAAACAACATTACTTCATTAACAGGCTACTAGTGCTGCTCTGTGATAGCAGAGGAGGGTAAAGTTCAGCAAACTCACTGCTGGTCTTTAGTTACGTTTAAGGCATCATTTGCCTTTTAAATTATTTATTATCGTCCACCCCAATTCTTTGGTGATATGAAGCTGAAGTCAGCTATTCGTGTTCGTATTAAATGCTGTAACTTGTTGAAGTAACTTGTTGAAGCATTTGATGTATTGGTAGCTTGTGTAGATCTGTATCGTCATCTCTCTCTGCATTGTAGCAACTGCATGATCATTATCTTCTTATTATCTATACACTGGTCATGATTTTCTGGAGACACATTCTGTTTGATGGACAGTGACATGTTTCTGTTCTGTCTTAGATCGTAATATTGAAAAAGAGAGCATACGTGAGTTCATTGACAAGAAACGAGAGATGTTCTATCTGGAGGTAAGACAGACCTTCTACTTGAATTCCTTAAATTCACTCAGATTGTTCTGTGGCTGCTTTGCCCTTTCACCGTTTCGCTAGTTTCCTTATATACATTTGCTTGTATATGTCTATCCTTTTATCATTGGTCCAAAATCAGTAAAAAAACACCTTTCGACAGTTTTTTGACGTTTTTGTGGGGTAGCAGGATGGTTGTCGAGAAAAGTACATTGCTTATATTACTGGAAATAATTTCCATTCCATACAAGCTAAAACAGAGAGTGAAAACTTTGCGCACACTGAGCTGCACCAAAAAGAATCTGTCAGTGTGCAGCAGTGCTTAGTGAAGCAGGTAGCCTTCACTACTTACTAGTACACTTTAATTGTATCGACATTGCATGACTAATGTAAAGCATCCACATATGTAATTCTGTTAAAAATATTGTTTTCGTGGTTTAATATTGACATGCAAAGCAAAAGATATCGTGAATATTGTAACTCAGTGTGCTTTGTTTACCTAGTTTTAAGTATAAATTCTGCCGCTTTACTGTGGTGCTAGTGTTGTATGTAGGCTACAGCTTTTCAATGTTGGTCCTCCGCACTTGTCAGACCAAATTTGCACCCATGCCTTTCATTGACTTTCCTCAAACCTTCCTCCTTCTCACTCACTCACACACACTCCTTCTCAATGTCTCCCTCTTGTTCTCAGCATGCTCTGGCAGTAAAGAGAGAAGAGATTAAGCAGCTGGAGGAGGTGGCGAGTCATGAAGAGAAGAAGTTGATAAGAGCCGAAAAGCTGCTAGAGGATGACACCATCTTGTTTGATTCATTTCTCAAAGAAAATGACAAGAACTCAGTGGAGGCCATCAAAATGTAATACAAATAAATATTGAATTACACAACTAACAGCCATACAGCATTCAATACATTTACTGCTTTCACATAAAGGTAAAATTGGTAAAAATACTGAAATAACATAAGTGAACATTAATTGACTGCTTATGAAATTACCAGTGAGGAATGTTGAGTATTTGTAATATTGTAAATGACCATGTCTGTGAACTTATACTTAGCGCTGAGCAGGAGACCAAAGCAAAGCTGGAGAAAGTAGCTGAGATCAAGAGGATCACTGCCAAAATGGTGGCCATTAAGAGGTACATACTCCACTGACATGAACACGTGTGATTTGCCTTATAAAATCATCCAATATAAAAGGGCCCATATCATGGAAAACCAACGTTTCCTCACTTTTTTCATGAAACACTGTTAAAGTTTCAAAATGTACTGTTCGCTCCCCAGTTCATATGGTCCATATATGGAAACAAAGCTGCAAAGCAGCCTGCTTTGAATTCATTGTATTTGTGATGTCATGAAAACTAACTGATTTACATATATTCACCTATTCAGCCTACAGCAGTTTAGCCCATTCATGCTGAAGTTATAAAGTGTGTTTTAGCCTGGACTGCTTTTGAATTTGGCACAGGACAGGGCAACCAGGAAGGAAATCATTTAGATAAACCACAGTAACAAAAATAGCCTGTTTAATACTAAGTAATAAAGAGAAATTAAATGGTCATATAAAAATTAATTAATGACTGTATATATATATATATATAATGAACATTGATATATATGGAATGAATTTTGATATATATGGATTGAACATTAAGATAAAAAATTAATAATATAATTTATAAAATGTTTTGTTCAGACAGAGATAGACTTTTGAGATTGTATGTGTTGTAGCCTTGGCCCTCCCCCACCTGCTAAACAGACTATTTACATTGTTATTTAATGTTGTTGTGTTGTTTTTCTTCAGTTACAGTGTGTGTACGTGTTTATTGTGTTATTTTGTGCCCAGCTCAGGGTTAGTTAGAGTGTGTTTGTGTTTTGTAACCATCAGAAGAAAGAGTAGGGCTAGGAGTGACCTACCTCAATTTCAGTTGCTTTTCAAGTGGCATTGTTTTCCCTTGCTCTCAATAAAAGAGCACTTTTCAAACAGAAATTATGGCCTCATCTGACTCTTCCTCTGCACCATTTCAAATTCTGTACATATTGAAGTCCCACCCAACTGTAGCTTCACATCATATATCAGCCACTCTCAGATCACTCTGTCCAAGGGATCACTGTGTATGCATACTGGTCACTTTATCAGAATTCCCATCCTTTAAGCTCCACCTGGAGTTTGTTAATACCCATTTATTGATGCACAGTTTTTGTTGGCCATCCTCAACCCTTCAACAGTGACTTTCATTCAATATATATGTTCATTCCGTATATATCAAAGTTCATTCAGTATATATGAATGTTCATTCCATATATGTCAAAGTCCATTCCATTTATATATTTATATATATATATATATATATATAGAGAGAGAGAGAGAGAGAGAGAGAGAGGGAGGGAGGGAGTCTGACCATATTAAACTATATCAGCAGATATTAACCGTTATTGGAATTTTTATCTCCCTAAAATCAGTATCGCCGACAGAATTTTACATCGGTCAGGTCCTGTCTACTCAAAGACATTATATGAAGTGAAGCAATGTATGAAATGACTATTTAAAATACACAATAGAAAGGCATTATTATTTTTACTCATTTTACATTTCGCTAATTTACCTGTTACAGTAGTATCTCTCTGGAAAGTGTCTAATAAGAAATGAAAGCAAGTTAGCATTGTACAAGCGAGAATACACTAGCCTTCTTTTACTCTTTATTTGCCACATTTGCATTTTTGAGTGAAGTGCTCCTTCAGTTCCTATTCAGATGGTACTACTCAAAGGGTCATTCAGTTCAAATGGTCATTCATTCTTCCCTCTTTCACTCAGTGACATCTCTAAGTATGAGGACACTCTGCAGGAGTACAAGCTCTATAAAGACTTTCTGTTCAAGCTTTCTCCTGCGGAGTGGCAGGAGAAACAGAGAGAGAAGAACAGACGCTCTCCTAAGCCCACGTCTGCCAACGAAAAGAGAGAGAGTGAGGTGAAGAGCAGAGAGACGGACAGAGGGAAAAAGACCCCCCAGTCTGACAGACGTACGTATTCACTATGGAGAATCCTTTAGACTAGAGCTGTGTGGACAAATATCATATTTGATATATGATCATATGTTTTTGACTCTCAGTAACATGTCAAAAACATATGAGGATTAGGACTAGGTTTTCGGTTGAGGTTAGGGTTAGGATTATGGCCAGGGTTAGGTTTTGCGTAATGGAAGTAACATATTAACAATACATCTGCTTAATGTAAGTAATGTATCAACAGTACATCTTCAAGATATTTACTTCAGTGTATTCAGATGCTTCACTTCCGCTACTTCACTGATATGTTGTCAATGTGTTACTGATAATCTGTTAAGAGTTTATTAATCATCTACAAAGGACCATTCAAAATAGTGTAACCGTGCTCTGTTTATGGCAAATTGTACAGGTGCCATAAATGGATATTGTCCACAAACTGCAGCAGTGAGGCATGGTTTCAGAAGTTTAGAAAGTAGACTAAATCTCTGCAGCGTGGAACTATTTTCATGTGGAAAGTGAAAACATGTAATATCTGCTGTCCTAATGTTCATGCACTACTATGCACATATTTAAATGAAAATGTAATTTTACTGCAATATTTAAAAAAAATTATCTTAACCATCAGATCAATCAATCTAATTGGATCACGAACAATAATAAAACACACTATAAAATTGTAATAAAAAAGAAGGCCAAAAAAACAGCCCAAAACAGTGCCACAATATTAACATACTGAAAATGAAGCAATTGCACAGTAGTAATAATTGGCTGTTTACTCAGTAGCACTTAAATTGGATCAGGGGGAAAACACTGAACAGGGGCATCCTTACTAGCTATATATTAAAAGTATAGTGGTATCGTACGGTGGTATTACTTACTGTGACATGATATAAGAAATACATTATTTACAAATCTTAGGTCATGTGAAATCACTGCTTTGAATCAGGGCACATACAAAACATTCACCTGGAAAACCTAAGATTTGCATATTACAGCATACAGCTACGCTAGAATTGCACAGGCCAATATTGTGACAATAACCATCAAATGATACATTGTGCAGTGTGAGTGGATTATTTTTATTTGGTATTTTGATACAGTGTAGCTTTAGTCAAGATGTGCATATCACAATGTGAAATTTCTTTTAGTATGTTATCTTTACCTTATGTTTTTGATGCTTGTCTAACCGATTTCACTACAAGGGATTTTCAGCCACAAGATCTCAATCAATGAATTATAAGTCATAACACATTTTCCTTCTGGACGGTCACATGTTTCCCAACCAAAAAGGCATTATCAAGAAAGGTCTAAGAGGGGCAGGTGAAGCAAATTATCGGTTAATATTATTTTTCTTTGTCCACTCATGCATGGTAATACTGAAAATTCAGAATATGTTTTAGGTTTTTTACCAATTTTTGTCTTTTAAATTAATGATTTGATAAATTATGCTTCATTTGACTAGGGAAATGAGCCAACATGATTAAATTGATCAATTTTGATTCCAGGTTGACTTTTGATATGTCAGTCTAAAGCTCCATTCTTACACACAGGCAGGGAGAAGAGGAGCTCTGTCGGATCTCGAGAGCTGCCCCCCCGTGAGGGCAGAGCTCCATCCAGACACAGTGTGAAGTCGACTCCTCAGAGTGGAAAAATGTACGTAGAATACATAAACACACACACACACGATTTCCAACACAATGTGCAAATGAGCTTAACTAAGAGCTTTTTGTTTCTGTTTGGTTGCTTGTAGGAGTTCTGCATCTGAAACAGACAGCTCAGAATATGAGGTCAGTATGAATCAACCGGTGGCCCTTTTTAGCACAATTTTTTGACACTGATGTTTTAGGTCAATCACAGTTTCCTTTCCGTCAGAAACGCTGCTTCCAGTTCTTTGTCATTTGAGTGTCTTCAAGTCACATCTACAAAAGATAACACCTTGAAATTGCAAAAATGGAATTTCCTCTGCATTCTGTGAGAGATACACAAACAGTTATAGAATGTTCATTTAGGCTTAGGACTTGGAACATGTTGATAATTAACTGTTATTAAATTACAACCTGCGCCCCCTGCAGGAGGAGCCGGAGCTGTACTTCACAGAGCCTCAGCAGCTGCTGGACCTGCTGAGTGAGCTGGAGGAGCAGAATCTCTCATTGATCCAGAACTTGCAGGAGACTGAGGAGGGCCTGGAGGAGTTCAGACAGACCATGGAACAGACTCGCAAGAACATGTGAGCAGTAAAAGAGAAACATATTTAGCACCCCTTATTCAGCACCTTTCACTGACCATTGTTCATAGTCGATTGTATGAGTCCATTGTATTGCGTCCAGTACATTCATTTTTTACATATCATTTGCTGAGATGTTTCTCAAGAACAGGTTTAGTATGAAATTCAAGTACATTTTATGAATGACCCCTACAATGCATTTTCCCTGAAGCCAACACACCAGACTGAGCTCGTCAGCTAGTTAACAGAGCTGTTCCTGAGTTTAAAATAAGGGTGCTAGAACAAGAACAATACTAACTGCAGTGCAGATGTACTCTAGAACCACAAATTCTATTCTGAGGATAGGCCTGTTTAACGGTAATATGGGTTGATGTGTTTATGAACGTGTACACACAGGGAGCATGAAGCAGACCAGCTGAAGCGGCAGATTGACGTTATGACAGAGACCATTCAGAGAGAGAAAGAGAGAACCGCAGAACTAGAGCTCAAAGCCAGACTCTTCAACTTTGGACAGTATAAAGCAGAGGAGGTAAGAGATAAAAGATAAAAGATAAAAATCCTGCTTATGCTTCATAGGGATATTCAGGAAAAGTTCAAGTGTGCTTTATTAGTTTAGAATAAATAAACATTTATTAAAAATAAGCCACTGAGAGTGCAAGTGTCATTCTTCACTGCCGTATTGTCACGGTCTCCTCTGCCTTTATCAAGCTCTTTGTTTCAATCAGTGTTCATTTGTTAGATGTAGTTGCTGAGTGACTAGCTCATGTTTGGTTTGCTCAATGTTTTTGTTAAGCTTAGTAGTTTGTTATTTCGTGTTCAATGTTTCTACTAGTCTGTTTTGTTCATTAAAGTGTGCTCACAAGTATGTCCAGCCTCCTTGCTCTCTACACGACACATCTTTTTCACAGTTTGTGTTCTCTTAGTACTAATTCTCAAATAGGACTTAGTCAGGTGCATAAATATTTAGACTTCAACAACATTTTTGTTTTTTTTAGCTGTCTAACACAGCAGACTGGAGTTGAACTTAAATAATGAATATGAGCTAAAAGTGCAAACTTTCACCTCTAATTTGAGGAAATTTACATCAGTAGAGGTGGAATTTTGCAATGGTCGGTCCCCTGATCTCAATCTAATCGAGCATGCATTTCACTTAGTGAAGACAAAACTAAAGGGAAAACCCCTGAGAACAAACAGGAACTGTTAACAGCTGCAGTAAAGACCTGGCAGAGCAACACCAGAGAAGAAACACACCATCTGGTGACGTTGAGGGATTCCACACTTCAGGCAGTCATTGACTGCAAAGGATTTATAACTGAATATTAAAAATAATTTCATTTATGATTGTTAGTTTATCCAATTGCTTTTGAGCCCCTAAAAATGAGGGGCTGTATGACAATACCCTCGCATTAAAGCTGCACTTTAAGCTTATATTCATTATCTCCAGTTTGCTGTGGTAGGAGCTAAAATAATAACTTTGTTGATGCCACTTCACTCTGACACATCTCTGGTCATATCTGAGACTTTTTCTTAATATGCTTTTTTTAATACTCCCTCTTCTTTTTCTTTCACTGTGCATCCCTGTCTGATCCTCCTCCACACCTCATCCGTCCCCCTCTCCCCCTCTCAGGATGACACTCTGAACACTCTGAGCCGGAAGGTGGAGGAGGTGTATCGGAGCTGTGTAGGAGACAGTGAGGCCAACCTGAGTACCTTGCAGATGCTGACAGCCATTGAGGGCCGGCTGGGAGAGCTGCTGGAAAATGTGGAGATGATTCCTAGTGACCGGCTTGCCATTGCTGAGAAAGCCAAAGAGAAAGAGAGGAGAGTCAGGTCTGATCAGCTGAGTTCTCACATCTTTTCAAAGACAGAATTCCAAAACTTTTCTACTTTTCTTTTCAAGGAAATGAATACATTTACAAGGGACATTACAGAAGCCTACATTGTGCTTGACATGGGTTTGAATTTGACTTTATTACCATGATAGTTTACAACAATGCTGAATAATCAATCTCTCACCAGAAACATGAAAATAATCAAATAATTTATCACTTTTCCAAAGATTGACTGCGATTTATGATAATTTGAGGCTTGGAAATTGAGACTATAATTTGTCTCTGACCACTTGTCTTTGTCTATCACTCACAAAACACTAGTTCTTTATGTTGTGTTCCTGTAGATTGCGGGATGAGAAGATCTATCTGCAGAAGCAACACCAGGAAGAGAGAATGAAGAAAGCTATGGAGAGAGCTCAGGCCGAGATCAAGAAAACGGTCAGTCTGAGGGATAAATGCTGACACACAGAATCATAAAGATATGTCAGTCAATATGAGTTAAATACTGTTTAAAAAACTGAATCATTTTCGTGTCCTATATTCCTGCAGACTGGTAGGAAGCTGATGCCTCGCTCTCAGCCTCCTATTCGCAAACTCCAGAACAACCAGCATGATGACATCGCAGACAAGGAGAAGGAGGAGCACATGTACTTCTTCACCTAAAGCACCTGTTGTTTACTACTGACTTGCATACTGACATGACCACACTCACACACTGCTTGGAACCCCCTATACCAAAGTACATAGAGTTAGCTGTTTATTAGGTATATTACTACCTACACACTAATTTTAGATTCCAGCAAGTCATACATCACATGACTGGGGTGTGTAGTATCAGTCAGACAGGTCAGCATTTCTAGTATCAGATGTGTTCAACTGAGTGTTATAAAGGCCAAAGTGAAAATCTTAGGTGCGTAGCCCTCTTGTAATACTTAAACATACAAAAAGTATATAAGAAACAATATTTTATATTTCATATAAATGCTCTTTGTGGAGCAAACACATTTTGTAGGGCTTGAACCCATTTCTTGTTCAAACCTTCTTTTTGGCTTTTCAGTAGTTTTGGGGCAGTTTCTCTCATTTTTCCAGCCCTCTTTTCTTTTTTGTTTTCTTCCTTTCCTTTTCATTTTGTTTAAATACCCACCTGGGCTAAGTACCATACTGGTCACCCCTCTACAAATGTGTGACAAAAGGGCTGCTGTTTGCGATAGCCTTAAGTAGAGGAGTCCACAGGTGTGCCAGGTTGGGCCTAATCAGCCTGAGGGCTTCTGGGAATTGGAGTTCCCTGAACTTGTGGCGCCTCGTCGCCATCTCCCTCTGCTGGCGGCCAGCAGCGCAGGCTGAGCCCTTACAAAGATATGAATAGAAGATGTACAAGATATCAATCTATATGTGCAGGTATAAAATTGCTAGATAGAAGTTACAGTAAGAAATCAGAGTGAGTCTGTTTGAGGTGTGGATACGGTGTGGATTGTTTATGGAGATCATGATGATGATGATTCAGAAGTGTAGTGACTGGCCCATAGACCGATACACCAATACTAGTGGCCGTTCAGCAGCCTGATGGCCCAGGGGAAAGTGTCTCGGAACCAGCTGGTTCTGGACTTCTGATGCCTCTGTACCTTCTCCTGCCCGGCAACTGTGAGAACAAACAGTGGCTTGGGTGGATGGAGTCTTTTAGAATCTATATCTCCTGGTCTTCCTCAGGCAGCGGCTGGTGTATAAATCCAGGAGGTTTGGGAGCTGGACCCCGGTGACGTGCTCGGGCTGTCCGCACCACCCTCTGCAGAGCTTTCCACTCGATTGCAGTGCTGTTCCCATACCAGGTGGTGATGGAGCCTGTTAGAATGCTCTCCACAGTACCTGTGTAAAATGTTCTGAAGATACAGGGGTTCATGCCAAACCTCCTCAGCCGCCTGAGATAGAAGAGGCGCTGTTGTGCCTATTTCACTGCCCATGTGGTGTATTGGGTTCATGTCAATTCCTCTGAGATGTGAACACAGAGGAGCTTGATACTGTTGACCCTCTCTACCGTGGCCCCGTTGATGGTGATGGGCATTCTCTTGCTTCCTGAAGTCCACTATGAGCTCCTTGGTCTTGTCGACATTGAGAGAGAAGTTATTCTCCTGGCACCAGTGTGTCAGAAAGCTGACCACCTCTCTGTAGGCCTCCTCATTATCATTGAAGATTAGGCCCACAATCGTGGTGTCAGCTGCAAATTTGATGATGACATTGGAGCCGTGTCTGGCTGAGCAGTCATGGGTGTACACAGAGTACAAGAGAGGGCTGAGCACACAGCCCTGAGGAGCGCCAGTGTTAAGGGTAAAGGAAGTGATGTTGCCCGTCCTTACCACCTGGCATCGGCCCGTCAAGAAGTTCAGGACCCAGATCCCGAAGCTTGATGTCGAGCCTTGAGGGCACGATGGTGTTGAATGCTGAGCTGTAGTCCACGAACAGCATTCTCGCATACATGTTCTTTTTGTCCAGATGGGAGAGGGCAGTGTGTGGAGTCAGGGCTATTGCGTCATCAGTGGATCTGCTCTGTCTGTGGAGCTCAGCCCTCTAACTTAAGACTGCACTTTGTGAATACCAGCCCAGGTTCTTTAAGCATCATGCTAATGGAAGGACCAGAATGTGGTAAAGGCAACATGAATCCATATAACTGTTCTGTTTGCTGTGAACAGTAAAAAGTGCAGTGTGACAGCATGGGAACATTCTGCTGCAACACATTAAGGCTCCTGATACCCTGAAGAGCAGGGTCATCCCTTCATGGCTGTAGTTTATTCACACTCAAGGCATGCATCATCACCAAATATTTTGAAGACCATGACAGTGAATTTTAGTTTTTCAGTGGACTGTGTAGTCCTTGGATCTCAACTGTTGAGCATTTTTGGGATGAGGTGGAAAAAACACTGCAGCTGTACAATCTGCAGCAACTGCACAATGCATTAAATTCCGCATGCCTCAACATTGCTGCACAATCCTTTCAGCATCATACAAAATCTATTGCCAGGCAAATTCTTGCTGTTCTGAAGGCCAAAGAAGGCACAACACAGTACTACGTTGGTGTATCGAATAAACTGGCAACTCAGTGTAGCTGCATGTTTTAAAATTGTATTTATTTTTACAATTTCTTTAGACTTCTTTAAGATCGGCTGCTAACAAAAGGCAACTTAACCCTCAGTTTGGACCAATGCACCTGAAACCTTTGTCTAGCAAAAGATTATAAGTATATTGGGGTTCTTTCATTTTACACAAGTGACTTGGTTAGTTTGTATAAATACGGGAAACATTTATCTGGGGTTTGCCATCATTGTGCAAAACAGATTGAACAGAACCGGTTTGGTGTTGACCAAATGTGATGTGAGTACAACATGTGTAATGCAAATTTTCTTTTAATGCATAATACTTTTATCATCTTTCTGAGGTCATACTCTTTCACTACTTATGAGCTATAGATACAGCCTTGTCTATGTATTTCTCTAGGAATTATTAAAGACATCTTCAGTCTTTGCAGATGTTTTAGTACATCAAACAGCTGGAGGGCTTTTTCAAAATGCAAAAATATTTTCTAAAAACAGGTTTATCACTCCCAAGCAGGTCATAAATCACTCTAGAGTGGAAGATGAGTCACCTTTTCTAGAGTAAAAGATTCACACCTTAAACAGACATGAACAGTAAGTGTGACTCGGTATGTTTTCAGCAATCCAACTCAATTAAGTTACACATTTTCATATTTTATAAAAAAGTAGAGTGGCATTTAATCTTAATTTCATACACAAACATAGAACATAGAACATTTTACATAAGACACAAAAGCCATAAAAAATTAACAAAACTTAATGGTAAGAAAGTATTTCTTCCATGGTTGTAACTGTAAATGCTGTTGTCTTGTTAGGACTGGAGGGCAAAGAGAGAACACTGAGTAACAGTGTTATTTACAAAGAGTTTTTGAGGTTGGCAGGTACCTTACTGCACAGACAACAGTAAATCTTACAACTTTCAGACCTAATTGTGCTGTTCCAAAAATGAGTGTAAGTATATAAGACACATAGCCTCGCCATGACGTACCAGGCAGTTATAGCAGTGTTCCTACTGCTGTTGCAGTCTTCATTAGGCTTATTACCATGCCTCTGTGAAATGTAGCGAGTAAGGATGTAACCTAATAAGCAGTGTGCAATAAGAACTACAATAACAAATTGCTTATAACATCTTTCTAGGAAGGACAGTAAATGTTGGCCCCTCATAGTACTCTATTAGAAGTAGATGAAAGTGGTACAATAGATGGAGGGAGATAAACTATGGAATCTGTACTGGCAGTCTCTTAGCATAATAGCTTTCCTTCACCAATACTGGATCTATGCCTGAATCACTGTTAATGAATGAATCTTCAAAAAATGAATCCTGGCTAAAATGTATGTGCCCAGTTATACTGTTCAAATATGACAATTTAATCAGCCATTTTTAATCAAAATGCATGGACTACACAGCTCAGAAACCTAGGAACATGTTAAATGAATAAGCCCTTAAACAGGGTCATGTCCAGCACCACTCCCCAGAAAGACAGAGAGAAGACATTTTGAAAACAGATGCGTTCCACGTCTTGAGGAGAGAGGGAAGGAGGGAGGGATGTAGGGAGACAGAAAAAGAACTGTCACTAGGTTCAGCAGTGGGTCTTGCTGACTCGACCTCAAGCTCTCACTCCAAGTCCTGTAGGTTGATAGTGCTGCCGGTGAACTGGGAGTTATCAGATCCATTATCATCCTCAGCCATAGCAGAAGGCTCCTGATTAGAAAAACATATGCATTTTATTATAGTACTGTATATACGGTCAAATAAAAGCTATTAAATATCACAGAACAGTCACATACAGTGAAAAAGTACAAAACAGGGCAGTGAAGCCAGGGTAGCTTCCCTGGGCATTTACTACACAAAACTTAAAATCTATGAAAAGTTTAAAAAAAAACCAACAACACAATCTTCTTTTTTTAAGACCACTGTTTAAGGACCCATATTGTGGAAAATTAATTTCTCATTTTTTAAAAAAAAAGTGTTAGGGACGTACTTACGGATGTACGGATACCATGCTCATGTACTCATACTCAAAAATGCACCAATACCACCTGACGTAAGCCCAGTATACGTTGCCATGCTCATAAACAAATGATTAAGCTGGCAGTGAATGAGGGTCTGCTCACACAGAGAAGTGTTTCTGACCCATGACAGTCAGACACAAAGTCTTTGGTCACTTTAAACATTCCTCTTAAATATATTCCCGCCAGACTTACACTGTGCAATTTTAACTTATTTTTCAAACTCACATAATCACAACCATAACCACTTCATCAATATGGGTGGAGACACGTTAGGTCAGGTCAGCAAAACAAGAAGAAAACAAGTCAACATTTGCTACCCAAGTCTGTCTATGCCGATTTTACTCTGCTTGACAATAGCATAGGTATAAATGTTAATATGTTGGGTTTTTAAATTGTCTTCATAAAGTAGGTTGTAGAGAGAGGGTATTGTCCTACTTATGCACATCACTGATTGCTAATAGTTTCAGTGCACAATGTGGCACAAGTTAGCAAAGCTGTTTCTCAGCATGTCTGCTCAGTACTCAGTGTGTAGTGTGTTATTTTGAATGAAACAGCTTTACTGGTAATTGTCCGTAGAGCGGCCTGTAGGGCTGCTTTTCACGTAGCATGGGCCGAGCATTCACGTACAGTGTGAGCATATAAAACATGGGTATGATGGTCTATTCAAACATACAGTGCGAGTCACCAAAGAACAAGATCTCTGAAATCGCAGTGTGTGTCTGGCTTTAGAGAACATTTAGCTATAGCTCAACCAGCCAAAGACTCCAACAAGACGTCAAACTCCACAAGTGAGCTCCTCGGTGTGATTACTGCTGTCACTGAGCTACAGAGACTGTTGTTGAAATAGACAGATGAAGAGCAGGGAACAAAATTAGAACACATACTTTATTTACAGCTGTACAGAGGTGCTTCTCCAACATGGGACAAAACCTGCTCTTCTCCACTGCAATCCTACTTGATTCAAAGTAACTAATGTAGCATAGCTAGCTAATGCACATCATTTAAAATCTAACCGATTTTAACAATTTATCTTAATGTAAATTGCATTCGTTTACAGCATCAGTTACTAAATTCTAAGTAGGTTACTCAGTATGGTATCAGTCACTATGGCCAAGTACTACTTGTTTTGAAAGAAAAAAAAAGGTATTGATGCATCAGTAGATGTAGTATATGAACATGGCGTTCACTCTATACAGTCCATCTATGCAAACTCTGCTGCAAAAATACCCCATTTTGAATTGTTTCTGTGATGTAACAACAACTAACACATTCACTTATATCCACCTGCTCAGCCTACAGAAGTTTAGCCCCATCCGTTCACACTGTTAAGTTTAAGGAGCGTTTCAGCCTGGTCTGCTTTTTGAATGAGGTGCAGTGCAGGACAGCCAATCAGAACAGAGCTCATTCAAGTATCTGTCTTAAGGGCACAGTAGCAAAAACAGCCTAATTAATTCCAAGGGATAATTAGATGCTAGAAATGGTCTTGTAAAAATAAATGATGACTACTTTTGATGTATAAAACCACACAAATGCTAAGAGGAAAATAAAATTTTGAAAATAAAATAATTTCTAGGATATAGGCTCTTTATCGCTATGAGGGATTATTAGCAATGAAGGGTTGTACCTGTAAGATGTTGACAGGCAGGTCGACTGTAAGCTGGGAATGAGAACTCGATGTCTGTGAGCTGAGCTGGAAAGCCAAGTCTCCATCAGTGGCAGGGTCGTCCTGCAACACACATACACACAAATCAGCACACTACAGTGTGACTGAGAGCAAGTTCCAGCTAATGAAAAAGCTCCTGACTCCACTCACCTGCAGTAGCTGAATTTGTACATACTGGGCTCCAGTCACCGGATCTCGGATAGTGAGGCCCCCCGTCGTCGATGCAGCTACTTCTCCAAAACGGACACTTGGTGAAGCCAGTGTCCCTGCAGTACTGGATCCCTTGCCTCCCTTAGCCTTCCTCGGAGTTGCCCCTGAGGCACCTACACTGCCAGCAGGGCCTTTCTGCTTCCTCCTCTTTGCCAGCTGGATAGCTCTGTAATCGGTGCGTGCAGAACCACTGCTCTCCTTCATGGACAAAGAAATAAAGGGAAAGCATAAATTCACTCATTCACTGCCAAATCTCTGCCAAAACTCTTGCTACTGAAATATGAGGTGAACGCTGTAAACAGAACTTGAGTTTTCTATTGTACTGCATAAACACATAGTTCTGTACTCAATGGGAAAGACAGAATTAATGTGTGTTCAATTTCAAAAATGAATGTACATTTTTTAGTCTGTATCAGTCTAAATCAGACTAGACTTTAACATGCAACTTGTTCAAGTTTACTTTTTTTTATAAAACCTGAATACTCCATACTCACCATAAAAGAACAAGTGGTGACTGAGGGCAGCTCTGTCTCTTTCTGCCCACCATAGGACACACTGTGGCTGGGAAACACAAACTGATTCATGGCTTTGCTGTTCTCCGGCTGGGCCAGGACCTCCACCCCACTCAACAAGGGCCCTACAGCCGCCTCACTACCCCCAATATCTGCTTTAGGCTGGGGAGACAGCAGTTCTGGCACTGGGGGTCCCGCCAGAGCAGTGGAAGATGCAAGTGAAGGAACAAGAGAAGAAGTGAGTGAGGGTGCAAGGGATGAAGACAGTGAGGATGTGAGTGAGGGAGTGAGTGATGGGGCGAGAGAAGAGGAAGGAGACTCTGCAGTTAAAGCGCTAGAAGAGCTCAGGGCTTGCAGCTGTTCCGCTGCTGAGGTGCTTTGGATAGCCAGGGTTGTTAGCGCTCCTAGAGCCTCAGGGTTCACTGTCTGCACATCGTCTAAATGCAGCGCTGCCTGCTGCAGGACCCCTCCGCCTGCACCAGGCCCTAAGCCAGCCTCCAGAACATGCGCCCCCATGTCTGCCCCTGCTGCTAAAATAAGAGGGTCCACGGCTTTGGCCCCTCCGAGAGAGGAGCCGACTGAAGCAGGGTCTATGGTCAGGATGCCGGCACTGACCAGAGACATGTCCATGGTGAAGGAGGAGGGGCCTGAGGAGGCTGAAGGGCCAGCGGGTGCTGCCGAGGCCCCTGAGGGCACGCTGGAGAACAGAGAGGAGAGGTCTAAGCTGCTGAGGTCTGCTCCCACAGAGCCTGGGGCAGTGGCGGTTTGAGCAGCGCTGGTGAGTTCACAGCTGGGCGTCAGGGTGGCTGTGCTCTCCAACTGACTCAACACATCTGGAGGGGGGAGAGAAAGCCACAGTGACATGACTGAGTGATAAGAACCTACATTATCACTCAAAATTCTGGAACAACAGTTTTCAGTAACAACTACAATTCTGACAAACGTACATGTATATAATTATTCCAATATGATTCTAGCACACAAAGTTTCAAATAATTTGTAGCTGTTAAAATTTTGAATCTGTTAAAAAGAGTTCAGAAAATGAACAGGAGCTGTATTTTGACAAAGTCGTATAAAACTGAAACTTATAATATAACCCCTTGCAATAAACATCTAATGGCAAGTACTATTAAGAAATGATCTGAACCTCATAATAATGCTAAATAATAAGGAACGTACCATTAGGTATCAGTTAATTAACTGCACATAGTCCGAAAAAAGTACTGAAAATTACGTTTTAAAAAACATACAACGTACACCACTGATGAACCTGTCATTTGGAAATGCGAACAACTGAGTGCTCACTGTGCATAAACACCGGTTTTGAGTGCATGACTACGTGTGTGGGTACCTGGGCTAAGGTTGTGATGTTTAAGCATATGGCTCTTGAGGCTGCTGCGGGATGAGAAGTGCTTGGTGCATCCAGCCACAGGACATCTGCTTCTCAGACACATCCCGTCCTGACGGTGTTTCTTAGAGTGGATGTAAAGACTGCTACGCGCTGAGAACTTAGCACTACAACCTGCAGACAGAAACGCAAACAATTTAAAGAATTATCATGCAGTTTTCCTTTTCAGTAATTTACTTCATAGAGGCAGTAAATAATATCACAGATTAAGGCAATTATGCTGCCTCAAAACATGTTTAAAGTACTATTTAGACAGATTTAGCTTTATGCAAGGAGGTGGAATGATGTCATTTAACAACAATGCATTTCTGACATTTATGACTGATTTGTGCAGAATAAGAAATCTCAGTATAAATTACAGAAATTGGATTGGCTATTTGATTTACATATTGCCACAGTCAAGCAAAACACAGTCTATGGTGCCAACCTTCTACTCTACACTCAAATGGCTTGGTGCCCAGGTGGGTGATACTGTGGCCTTTCAGGTGCTCTGCACGAGTGAAGGATTTTCCACAGCCCTCCTCCGGACACGTAAACCGCCTGTCATCATCATGTTTCCTGAAACGGTGTAATACAGGGGGTTCAGCAAAACACAAAGACCATTATAGGCTGAAAACATGAAGTACACCCACTAAAATGAAAAGCACTGAAAATGTATTCTATCACTGTGTTGTTTTCTCACCTTTTGTGACGCAACAGCTTTGACATGCTAGTGAAAGTCCATCCACAGGACTCAGAGTCACAGACAAACGGCCTCTCACCTGAAGGAGGGACACAAAGCGCGAACCAAGGATCAGTCAACTGATTAAAATACTTTTAAAAAGACAGCTGCATGTGTATATGGTTACATGTTTACCTGTATGACTGCGAAGATGGATTTTAAGGCGGCAGGCTTTGTCATAGCGCTTGTCACAGCCGGGATAAGTACAAGTGAACTGGCCAGTCTCTCTGAAGTGAGTCCTGTTGTGGGAAAAGAGGGCACTGAAGGTGATGAAGGCCTTCTCACACCCTGGGGAGTAGAACAAAAAACAAATTTACATAAATAAAAAAGGAGAGAAACATATCTAGAACACAACTGGGCTTAAGACCCTTTCTGACCAGTCAAGAAATTGGTCAATAATGCCATTTATAGAAAAGCATCAATGTATCAGTGTAATACATTCAAGAGGAAAAGCTCTCTTCAATGATCTATAGCGTTCATCTAACACATACACTTCTGACAGACTTCAATACACTATAGGAAGCAGTGCAGGCAACACAGCTTTGTTTAATCATAAACAGAAATTATCTGCCTCCGAGAACAGAACGATGAACAACAGGAGCCCTGCAATGTGCGCAAACTGAGACGAATGACAGAGAAAAGTACAAAGATTACATGATCTGATTAAACTGATCACAGTTCAATTAATTATAGAAATAATTCTTTATTGCAGTCTTACTGACCTGGGAATTCACACTTGTGCGGCCTCTCAGGTTCGAAGTGCGTTCTCTGATGATTGGCGAGCCTCGTAGCGCTGCGGAACCTCTCACTGCAAATCTCGCACACAAAGGCGTCCTCTTGGTCATGTGCTTTAACATGGGCCTTCAGGTTGTAGATAGTGGTGAAGCGCCGGCCGCAGTTCTCCCACTCGCACTTGTATGGCCGCACCTTGTCGTGGGACTGCAAGTGCCGCTTCAGTTTGTACGACGTGGTAAAGGACCAGCCGCAGCCCTCCACTGTGCACTTGAAGGGGCGCTGGTCCTCTGTATGGAAAACGAGGTGCATCTTGAGCTTCTGGCGGCTGTCGAAAGCCTCAGGGCAGCCTGAGTGAGGACAGCGGTAAGTAACTAAGGCGCCTTTCTTTGCCATGCCTGTCGGCACCCCAAGGCTCATTGGCTGCATCTCGTCCTCACATCCAACAGGTAAGCCTGGGAGATTTAAAGACGATTATCAATCAAATATTTTTTCTGTATCCATATTGTACGTTTGGAAAATTTTCAATTAAATATTGGGAAGTGAACTTGTATAACTAAATCTCACCATACAAAAATATGCTGAATGCACCACTTCCTGTCAAATGCTAGGTTCCATGTCCCCTTGCCTTAATAACAGTGCCAATCAGGTGAGTTAATGATTACACCAGTCTTACTCTAGCCCACTCTTCCCTAAACTGGGAGCAATGATAATATCTATGGCTATTGTGATAAATGACATCACAATGTCACAACATGCTTTTCTGAGCATATTGTGGATATTGTCAGTACTTAAACCACTTCCCAACTGTATGTTTGATTACAAAGAGAACTTAATTAGTCGTGTTTAATTGGATTTAGTGCACAACCGTGTGTGAAATGCTGAATACAAGTACAACCTCATTTCCAAAAAAGTTGGGACGCTGTGCAAAATGTAAATAAAAAAACATAATACAATGATGTGTAAATCATTTACACCCTATATTTATTTTAAAAATACAAAGACAATAGATTAAATGATGAAACTGAGAATTTTTTGTGTTTGTTTTTTGAAAGAAAAAAAAAATGCCCATTTTAAATTTGACACCAGCAACACGTTTCAAAAAAGGTTGGGACAGGGGAATGTTTACCACTATGTTGTACCAACTATTCTTTTTACAACACTAAGTGTTTGGAAACTGAGAAGACTGATGGCTGTAGTTCTGAAAGTGAAATGTTTCCCATTCTTGCTTAACATAGGATTTAAGCTGCTCAACAGTTCGGGGTCTCTTCTGTCGTATTTTTCGTTGCAAACGTTTTTAATGGCCAACAGGACTGGACTCCAGGCACGCAAGTTTAACACTTAGGCTCTTTTACAGATTGAGAAGAGAGATTGAGGTCTGGTTATTTCTGGTCAAAGTGTCCCATTGTGCCTTCATGTCTGTTGAACCAGTCACATCCAAAGTACTCTACAGTTGTCATCCTGGAATATGACAATGTCAATGTTCAGCTCAGACATCAAGCACAAAGTTATTGAAAAACTCTAAAATGGAGAGGAGCTCTCTCCAGAGATGGTGTAATTCTTACCTGACAGGCTTTTTTTGCTGTCATTAAGGCAACTGGAAGCTCAACCAGGTATTGGACAAGGTTGAGACCATTTTTTTTGTTTTTGCCTCAAAGCTTATTATTCACTATCACCATTAAAGGCTTGAAATTTGAATAACGTCCACTTTTGTTCATTATGTGGAAGTGATACAAGAACATAATAATTATCAATATTAAAAAAAAATAATTAGATATTTGGCCTTACTGCCCAGCCTTACCCACAGGTGCACCTTTCGAACCGTGACCTAAAGCGCTGGCTTCGTCCACAGCACACAAAGCCCCCTCCTCCTGTTTAACAGAGGGGCAGGAGTCCAGAGCAGTGCCGGGCAGCTCTGAGAGCGGACTCTCCTCAGCCAGGGTCAGCTCGGAGTCACTGGCCGCCTGGCCGGCGGTCCGCTCGTCCCGATCGGTTACGGTAACGTTGCTGATCTTCCCGATAGACTTTGTCCCGCCGTCGTAGTTGAGCAGAACGATGTCTTCGTGCTCCTTCATGCCCAGATGCTCCTTCAAACTCACCATGCTATCGTCTTTGTATGCATAGCCCTCCGGCGGCGCGGCCAGAGTCAGTACCCCGTTCTCGATGGTTAAGATGATGCTCTGGTTGTTGATCGTGATGGTGCCCGAAAAGGTGTCCTGCGCTTCGCCGTTCTCGCCTGGAGCGAGCCTGGCGTAGTCCGCAGCCACGTACTCCGGACTTTTACCTGCGTCCGTTACTCCACTACTCGCAGCACTGCCAGCCTCCAGGGCAGCGCTGTTTTTACACTCGCCCTCGCTCAGCTCGGCCTGTTCTGTCGACCCTAAATGACCGCAGTTCATCATGACCACATCGGGTAGTTTCCCACTAACGCTACATTCACCCTCAGCGCCGCCGTCTGAAAGCACCATGTCGCCCCCGAACAGCTCTCGCTTCCCTCCGGCCGCGGAGCCGCTTTCCCCGGCTAGCTCCGAGTGGCTAACTAAGCTACCGAAACCAGACTCGGGCGGGGATTTCGCCTTGCTCGTCTTGTTGTTCTCGTCTGTTTCCGTGAAAACCGAAGCGTGCTCTCCGTACGTGGACCTGGACGGCTCTGTGGCTTTCTTCTCGTTCACTTTACACGAGCGCGTTCGTGGCTCTTTGTCGAGGCCATTTTCTTCCTGCACTATGTTAAACACAACGTAGAACTCCTCACAGCTTTTGCCACCGGAAGAGCTCGCTATGCTGTCGCTAGCAGAGCTGTCGGCGGCTCTGGACGGAGATGCGATAACGTTAACGTTACAGTTCGTGTCCTGATGCTGCTGTTGCTCCAAGTCCCCGGCCAACAGCTGCCTCTGTTCTCCATAACCGTCCTCCCCCTCGAAGAGAGGCAGCGCCATTTGCAGCACGCCGTCCTCCTCGCTCTCCTCGCCGTACTTCAGCTCGGCCCTCACGAAGTCCGCGGGCAACTCTAAATCCCCGTACTCCTTCTCTTTCAGCACATTTAAGTTACACAGCTCGATGCTGGACGTACGAGGAGCCTCCCGGGGCGGCGGCGGCACCGCCTCGCCGCTCTCGTCGTGCCTGTGGTGCTGGAGGCACAGGCGAGGAGGGCCGCTGCTGCCATTTTGCGCCAGCAGGCGAGGCGGAGAGGAGCCCGGCCGCCTGTTGTTGTTGCTGTCGCTCTGAAGCCCGTGCGAGGCCGAACGGTCCCCCTTTGAAATGGAGCTAGAAATGGTCCCCGTCGTCGTTCCCAACGGAGATGAACCTGACTTACGCGGGGCGCCATGTTGGTAGTGAGTGTTTTGGGCATCAGTAAGCCCCTGGATTTCCATCTTGGTGTCCCTGTAGCAGCGACACATAAAGGCCCGCCCTACACTGATGGGTAATAAGACCCAGCGGAGCCACTGTACGGAGAAGCTGCCAGCAGCAGCGCTCACGTTCCGGAACTGGGGCACCACGAAGCGAAACACTGTTCATACAAGAGTGCAAACGACTTGGATATACTCTGTATTTACCCAGTGTGTTATTATGATTGTATATCGTACAGTATATCGCAGTTTTTTTCTACCATATATATTTTTTGCAAACATACGAGTGTTGACTTTGAAAATACTTATCTGAGCCACTAGATGGCGCTGTAGGACCACTGATGATTTTACTCACACTTCTTTAAATGTACTTAATTGAAAAGGAGCGCAGTGAAGTCTTTTCACTTAGAAGAGCTTAAAGACAACAAAAAATGTTCATATTAATAAATGATGACCTGGATTTATGTTACCTGTTACTGTTAAGCCAGTTCAACTAGCCCTATGAGAGGCCACTAGTGAAATGTGATGCTCAGTGCTGTTTAAAAATGTCACACCTACAGCTTTTAAACCAGAGAATACAGAGGACAATTCAGTAGGCAGTGTATGTAGGAAAATGACATGGCAGTGTAAATTTCTGAGACACGCAAATGTTTATTTCAAATTAGGCAGCCTGGGTGTTGTTGAAGTCCCTTTATGATGAGTCAGATCATCCTAAAAGTTCTTCTCTCTTCTGTTTTACCTCAGCCATAGAGTAGCTACTGTTTTTCCTATTGCTTATAAACAACTTTAGTATGGAAGCACTTTTGTAGATGCAGGCCTGTAATTAGGACACAACACAACAATTAATTAAACAATTGGTGCACTGTATAGATGTAACCACTATAATGTACAGTACTATGAATTATATACACACTATAGGCCAGTTTCCCAGACATGGATTAAACCTATCTTGGACTAAATTGCGGTGCAATGATCAATCATCCCTGGAAATTCTTTTTACTGTAAGACTTAGGTTTAATCTGGGTCTGGGAAACTTTATATGTCCAAAAGTTTACAGACACCTGCTTTCCAATGTTTTTTTTTTCTGAAATTAAGGGTATTAATAGGGAGTTTGCCCCCACATTACTACAGTAAAAGCCTCTACTCTTCTGGGAAGGCTTTCCACTAGATGTTGGAACATTTCTGTGTGGATTTGATGGCATTCAGCCACAAGAACATTAGTGAGGTCAGGTACTGATGATGGATGATTAGTTCTTGGTCACAAATGCCACACCCACTTATCCCAAAGTACTGAATGGAGCTACATCACTCTAGAGCACATGTGTCAGGCTCCAGTCCTCGTGGGCCAAAACACTGCAGACTTCAGCACACTGCCTCATTAAAGACACCCGATTCATCTCATCAGCTAATTAGCAAGGACTTCATGAACTGAATCCTGAGTGCTAGATGAGGGTAAACACTAATCTCTGCAGCACTTCTGTCACTCCCAGTTTGACGTGCCTGCCCTAGAGAACACAGTTTACACTCCTCTACTGTACAGTATTAGTTCAGGTAATCAAATGTTCTTGGGCTAGCAAACCATTTAATTTCTTAACACGTTCATTCTTTATCAAGTCAAGAGTATAAAACTGAGATAAGGTGCAATAATGACAATAGTGAAGATACAAATAGACATTGAAATCTTTATGCTTTCTTTTGGATATCTGTGTTTCGCTGTGATACAGTTGGAACACCGCAAGATAGAACATGCTCAGTGACAAAAGAAGAGGAGGTGGAAGGGAGAAAAAAGTGTTCATATCTTGTACAGTATCACATTTGGAAATGCAGTTGTGTGCATGTTGGATTATATGCGCCGACAGGGTTCACAAACTGAACAATAACCACTGTTATACATATTTGAAGAGACAATTTGACAGTCATGCAAAATGTAAAAATATTATGTGCAATACAAATGAAAATATCTACTCTGCATTTTTCAGCGTCAGCTATGCTGCATGCTAAAGCTAAAGTTTTACAAATGAAACGTCAGACATTTCATTTGTGATCTAAAATACCAATAGAAATATATTGTCTATCTGCAGTAAGCTACATTGTACTTTGTGCCATTTTCTACAATATTCTGCAGTTCAACAGAATATACTGTACACAACAAAAATCATGGACAAAAATATACACAAACAATCTACTGTCATAGAAAACCGACACAGTTGGCTAGCTCTAGATATATAAACATTTGTGTCAGACTGAAACGACAACCAGCACTGAATGATCCCCCATTGATATCATGCAATATCATAAATTGTAACATGTAAAAGAGAACAGCTACAAACTCAGTTAGACCCCTCAGTTCATACGCACACACATTCACACACTCATCATTCATTCCAATACTTCCTTTGTTTACAAATGCAAATAAATAGAGATTTTGTATCACAGAGGAATTAGCAAGTCAAGTTCGGCGCTAATAGAGGTCCTCAAATAAATGCAGTTAATGAACCTTAACCCATAGCACAGCTGAAGTTTTCCCAATTTGCTCACATTTAATTAAAAGTGAAGTCAGAGAGAGTTAGAGAGAGAGGGGGAGAAGAAGAAGAGGGGAATGGTACACAGAAAGGGACTCATAACATACTCTAAAATAGGAGGAGGTGCTAATGAAGAATAACATCTGTTACCATTTCATTAATGTTCATGCAAATGACACGGAAACACAGCAAATACTCTTGAGAGTCGATAGAAAAGACCACGCTGCATTCAGCCTCGACAAAACACCACTGGCTGCCAAACACGGAGCATCCAACAGATTTGGGGCATGAAAGTGTCAGCCGCAACTAGAACAGGAGTCAGTGTGATATCAGCGCGAAGAAGGCGCAGAATAACTTTGCATTCATTTGCAAAGGAAAACAGGCGCATTCCGTCTTCCTCCAAATGACCATAATGGCCCTGTGCTACATTTTGAAGTGCCAATTGTGATGAAGTGGGTGCACTCTTTCTCTGTCCCCCCTCCTCACGCTCTCTGGCTTCTTTCTCCACAAAAAGAAACAAAGTCTGAAGGTGCCCTTGCAGTCTAGACCTGGCGTGTTGCATTTTTGGCACTTTTTGTGCTCTTTTGTGATGCACGTTACGGTGGTCACTCCTGACTCTAAACAGGCAGCACTGCAGGCTCTGAAAAACAGATGGGATCCTCCAGGGCCAGCGCGAGAATGCATTATTCAACCAGTAAAGCTTGTTAAAGCCTCAAAGGTTATGTTTGAAAGGAAGAAAGGAGCCAGGAATTCATTCAGATATTCCAAAACTGGAAGGTAACAGTATCAGACAGCATCAGAGCAAGCGAGGAGCTGAAGATGAAGAGGATGAAGAAGGAGCATAACAACACCAGACAGCAAGGGCAAACAGCAAGGAAGAGTAGAAATGCAGTTACAGGTTGTCTGAAGAAGTACAAAGGTTTGGGTACGGTGTATCGTCACTGTCATATCAAAACCTTCTAATTCACCAACCCTCCTCCTAGAGAACAGCCTTCCTGTAGGTTTTACCTCCAACCCAACCCAACAACATCTTCTCAGGTAATCATGTACTTCTATAGGCAGTAATTGGATGGTTCAGGTGGGGTTGATTAGGGTTGGAGCTAAAGGAAAATACATCTCCAGGAGCAGGGTTGGTGACCACTGCTATACACCATTTGAAATACTAGCTGCCCTTTACAGTGTGTGTACATTTCATGGTGAATGGACCGATAGAAATGGTCCAAAATTACTCTGAATAAAATCTCGTTACAATGAAGTTAAGAATGTTTACCAGGAGATCACAAGATTCTCAGACCACAAGATATCACAGTCATCCCTGGCCCAGGAGTCATAATTAGCCTCCCTCTCCTCCCGTCACTCCGCATGCCAATGCAGGCGTCTGTTAGCTGACATAACAGAATTGGCAGTTAGTGTTCTCCTCCAAGCGTGTTGTGATGCCCAATGATAATGTACTATGTGTCTCAGGTCTTTTTCTTCTACTCATCAGGGGTGCACAAAATCGTTGCACAAACTTCAAAAGTTCATGCCAGCTCAAGAGCACACTGTCATTGGACATTTAGGCCCACTCCCATATATTATTTTACCCCTACCCCTTGTTTTCGATTGTGTCACCTCACCCTTGGAACTGAGTTACAAGGGGTAGCAGTTGAATACCCTATGAAATGGGACCCTCAAATAAAAAAGAACATTACTTCATTAACAGGTGCTCTGGAGACCCTGCCAGTCTGTAGTGATAGCAGAGGAGGGTAAAGTTCAGCAACCTCACTGCTGTTTTTTAGTTAATTTAGAGCATTATATGCTTTCAAAGAGGGGGATACGACAATTATTTATTATCGCCCACCCCTAATTGTTTGGTGATATGAACCTGAAGTCAGCTATTCACCAGCGTCTCGTTCAGATTTTCCTTTTCCACCTTAAATGATGCAGCAGTTGCATTCTGGCGCTTCAGGTGTCAGCACTACTGGACTATTTAAGGTGGGACGGGAAATTTAGTTAGCTAGCTGCTGATCCTTAGCATATTATTAGTGATTTTTTAAAGCTTGTTATAAAGAAAAGGACCAAAATACATTAAAATGACTTTAAACTAAGATAATACAATGGTTATCATAATTTTTAACGGAGAAAATTCTCACATTTGTGGGTTTCTTTAATCACTTGCACAGCCATCTTGCCTGTTTTTCTCTCATAACACTCTGTTTGGAGCGTGTCTCTGAAAAACCTCGGTTTGGAGGGCCATGAAGCCCTAACACGTCACCCTACCCCTCCAGCTCAACTTATATCGGGACACCCTACCCCTAGAGCTGAACACACAAAACGGAGGTCTAAAGGCTAAGCGGTAGGGGAGAGGCGTGAATGAGATTGGGCCTTAGTGTCATACCTACCAGTGACCGGATGCTGGATTAAAAAAATAAAAATTGGACCTCTGGTGTAGAGATTTCTGGATGTAATCGTACAAAGAAGGATAAAACTGGATTGATAAAGTGAAGAACAATGTAGTTTATGGATGTGGTGGATTGTTTAGGGACTGGGGTGCTGGATTGCTGTAGGATTTACCACTGGTTTGTGGAAGGCATGCAGCCTCCTTGTATGTTCTTCCATCCCTCTCTCTCTCCTATCCAAAATCTGTTCAGATCTATTCAACACTGCCACAGACAGCCAACAACCAATGAAAAATGAGCAAATACATTCAAACATTTCAGAACATATTACACATGACACTGTTTGTCATCTGTTTGCAGACACCTCCTGAACAGCGAGGCAGAGTTTCTCAAAGTTAGGTCTCACCATTCTGCCAGATGGTTTGAAAAGTTCTGTTGCGTGTTGGCTGCAAACCTACCATGGATTTAGGACGTCCTCAGTCAGACACCTACAGAGTTGTACTTGTTCATTCCAGACACAGACTATACTGAGTTCTTTTAGTCAGCAGGTCTTCGGAGTTCTTTGGTGGCAGATATGGTGCAGCAGGTGCTCATGAAGTTCTCTTGGTCACTGTCTCACTTTGGGTTCATAAAAACAGGTTATGGTTTATTTCTGCTCAAGTCTTGCAGACTGCGGTGGAGACCCTTGCATGCTCGGGTCATCAAAGTGTGGGAGAGTAGATGAGCTCATATGCCCTTTCACCCCAGCCACAGGCACTCATTCTCGTTCTTTCTCTCTCTCTGCCATTCTTCCTCTCTCTCTCTCCCATATTCTCCCTGTCTTCCTTTCCTTCCTCTGTTATTCAGCATTCTATAGCTCTCTCAGTCTCATATTTCCTTTCTTTTACATTCTCGTCCCTTTGTTCTTTATCATTCCAAAGATCTTTCTCTTTCTCTCACTTTTTCCTTATTCATTCTCCTCACTCTGTTCTTCTTTATCATTGTATAGGTGTCTCTCTCTCTTTTTCCTTCTTCTTCATTCTCTCCCTCTGCTCTTATCATTCTATAACTCTCACTTGTTTTCTTTTTATCTCTCTCTCACTTTCAGCTTTATTCATCCCCCACTGTTCTTCTCTCTCTCTCTCTCTCTCTCTCTCTCTCTCTCTCTCCCTCTCCCTCTCCCTCTCTCTCTCTCTCTCTCTCTCTCTCTCTCTCTCTCTCTCTCTCTCTCCGTATGTCTGCAGAATCTGTTAGAATCAGACCAGGTGTTTCCTTCAACTTTTAATGGGTTCACATCTCTGCCAGATGATGAAAAAGTTTGTTGTTTTTTTTTTTTGGTCACATGAAATTGTCTTGTTTGTGATGTTCCAAGGCATTTAGCAGCACTAACATGTGGGCAGAGCATCTGCTTCCTTTTCTGTAGTTTTCTTCTCTCTCTTTTTAGAATGGAGCATACTGAGTACAGATGTTGGTAAGGAAATGTCGTTCTTCTGAGTGAAATTCTGTGTAGGTGCTGTCAGCAGTCAGGTGGCCAATCACCAGTATATATTACATTGACAGTAGGGGGCCAATCACCAGTTTGTTTACATGCCCCGTTAAAACTCCCTAGAACTCCAGTCCTTCCTTCTCCTCCTTTCAGCCACCTTCCTCTCAGATGCGTGTGTTGAGAGGGGGCTTGGTGGGTGTCCCTGAGGCAGGGGGCGCGGGGCGAGGGTCAATTCCTTTGCTCTTCATGAAGGACAGTAGCTGGTCAGGGATCTCCGCCAGAACGTCTTTAGCTAGTCGAGCCATGCTCAGGACCTGGTTACCAGAGCGGTCAATGTAGTCCCGGAACGGAACGAACTGGCAGCCGAGAGACAGAGAGAGAATGAAAGAGAGACAGAAATTGAGGAAGATTTAGAAGGTGATGAAGGAAGCTGTGTTGTAAAGGTGAGTAACACTGGAAAAGAGAGGCTTTCTTTACCTGCACGATGTCTCTCTCGGCAAAGCGCCCCCTAGAGGACACTCTGACATCATCACCGTCTAACTCCTCCATAGCTGTAGGAGAGAAGACACACTATGTTACCCTCATGCACTTTTCCCCAATTCCGCACTATTTTCTTACAGACTTCTGATCCACCCTCCCATATTTTGTATCTGTGTCAGTGAAACACAACTGTTCAAATTTTCTGGGTAAAAATAAGTTAATGCATCCTCTAATGCAACCATGTAAATATGTTGCAGAAAAAAAATCAGTAAAATTTAGCAATATGAGTTCTACATAATGAAAAAAAAAAACATAAAATATAAAATAATATAATAATATATAATATAATACCATAACTTTTGCACAGGCTGCTTTTTTGTCTTTTTCCCCAATGTGTTAAATTCAGCAAGTAAATTAATTGTGTAATCGAGCATTAAAATGTGCAGAAGCGTGTTCTCTGTAAAGGATGTGTTAGCTTCTTTTCACTTAGAAAATCAACAAAACATAATTTGACTAGGAGTGTTCAAACTTTTGCATGCGACTGTACATGTACAGTGAATAACTTTCCAACGTCCACTTAATGGCTGATGTATTTTACCAAAATTCTCTTGGGTAAACTGGGCAGTCCTAATCATGGGTCACATGCATTTAAGCAGGTCCTCATCAATTACAAAGCTGATGTGGGTCGTCCATACCTTTGCATACAACTGTATGTATGTATCTCGCATGCTCGCTTGTTGAGGGAAGTGTACGGCATTGTACACCACCTCAATATACTAGCCACCTCAAATACTTGCAAAACTTGAAAGCAGGATGTTGTCACCTTAACCTAGCCTAACTTAATAACAGCTACATTTATCTAACTAGCAGACTGCTTTGCTATCAGGGAAGATAAGCTAACATAATATTAGCTAGCATTTATTTCTGTTTCAAGAGATCGCAATTTACTAAAATTATGACCAGTCAGCATGCAGATAATGCTGACTGGTCATAATTTTAGTAAATTGCGATAATTTCAATTGCCAATTATTGCCAATTAGTGAAATTATTTGCAATCAGACAAAGATAAAATGATCAGGCATATGGCTGTCTATATACATATGGGGGAGAGGGGCGGGTTAGAAAGGCCTGGGTTTAATTCCCCAGCCAGGCGACCAGGGTCCTTTCTGTGTGGAGTTTGCATGTTCGCCCCGTGTCTGCGTGGGTTTCCTCTAGGTGCTCCAGTTGCCTCCCATATTCCAAAGACATGCAGAGAGCTGTGTTAAATTGCCCCTAGGTGTGAGTATGAATGTGTATGACTGTGTGTCTGCCCTGGGTGTTTCCTGCCATCCGTCCGATGACCACTGGGATAGGCTTTAGCAACCTGCACGACCCTGGACGATAAACCACTTAGAAAAAGTGTGTGTGTATTTAATTTATTTTACTTTTTTTGTTTATTTAGTTAATTCTTTTTGTGTTTTAGCTGCACATTGATCCTATTTGCACAATAGTGCTACTTTTTATGCTCACTATTGTAGGCTCTAATGCATGTTTTGTTATAAGTTTTTTAACACAATTTTTTTAAGCAGTTTGAGTCCACAACATTTAGTTTTCTTAGAAATGCATACATTTTAATTTTCCAGCCTGAAACTCCATCTCTAAAATTACTAAAACGTTGTACAGGTCAGATTTCTTCACCATGCTCAAATTTGACCTGTTTCCACATGAACACTACATCTATCATTTCGAAATAAACATTACTTTTAAGTAAAATATAATATGCACATATACAATTTTTGCATAATTTCCTCAAACACTATTCGGTCATGTTAAGTGACTTGATGAAGAATGACGACATGTTAGTCTTCAGAGGAGCAAAGACGGAATCTCGTAATTTCTGCTTTTGTTCAGTATTGATAATTGGTTGTTATCTCTCCTGGTCAGCCTGCTCTAATAAGGGCAGAATACAGTTCAATTACAGAGAATATAGAACACAGAGCAGTTAAAAGGGTCTGTTATTGATAACCAGCTGTTACTCAGCTGAGTAATTACTCAGCTGGTTGCAGCTGATAAGCACAGATTTCAAAGCTAACAGCTACTCAGTGAAAATGGATAAGAACAGCCTGCTTTTAGCAGACCTAGCTGTTTAACTAAAACTGTTTAGCTCGTCAGTAAGAGAGAACTGCGCTCATTCTGCAGTGTAAACTGTGATGCTGTGTGTAGTCATGAACGCTGATCTGTCTCTTGTCATTTTATTTAAGATCTGTGTTTATTGATCATGTTTAGATCACTGAGCAAGTCCTGTTATTTACTTTTTCATTTTCCTTCAGTTCTCATCTGTTTGCTATGTGGGTAGTGAAGCTTCCCTGCTGAAAAAGGACCATTAGAAAACCATCAGAATTAAAACTTAATGGTTTTGCTTTCTATTGGGAATTGGCTTAATGGTTTCCAAAAGAGACCACTAGTGTCCTGTAGAACACCTTTAGATTCCTTTAGGAAACCATTAACTGCATTTAGAATCAACCATTTGTCACCTGGTAAACCATTGGGATCCTTTACATTGTGATCAACCCATTAAAAAAACACATTACAAAACCATTACAAAACCATCAGGAACCATCAGAAACACTTAATGGTTTCTATGGGTTTTTCAGGAGGGTTTTCTCTGCTCTCTGATATGCAAGTGATGTGCGTTCAGGTCGCACATCGCAGGAGTGAACTGTAGTTACGCGACTGTGGCTGGTTTACTGTTGCTATGGATACAGGTTCCATTATTGATCTACAATACACTTGGACCAGCAGTGACTGACTAGCTAGCGTGCTCTCCTTCACTGGCATTACAGTAAAACCGCCACTAGCCATCCAGAGTGTTTCTAATTAGTGAAAGCTGGAGTGCTGAGCAGAAGTAGGCAACTTTAGGAGTGCTCAGGTTCATTGGTAGGTCATTTTGAGGAAAGTTGTACAAATGCGGGGGAAATGACAAGTATGGCGTGAGAAAAGCTGGAGCGTTGAGCAGAAGTAGGCAACTTTATGAGCGCTCAGGTTCACCGGTAGGTCATTATGAGGTAAGACGTAAAAATGCATGGGAAATGACAAGTGTGGCATGAGAACGTGTGATTAGACTTAACTGCGTGAGACTCACGGCCAATACGTGAGAGTCGGCAGCCCTGCAGCATATGTTGTGTTTTGACTGCTGGTGCTATTCAGAAGTAGTAGGAGTTAATATGCTGTTCACCAGCAAAACCAGCAAACTGTAGCCTTCTGCTACTGGCTAGGCAGATAACCACATAATAAGGCAAAGGCTCAGGGTAGTGAGCACCCTCCAACAAAGAGACTTGTTTATGTTGTTTAATGTTTATGCACATGTTGTTTGTGTTATTTAGTTGTGGGTTTTGTGTGTGAGGAGGGAGTTCACTGTTAGGGAGAGGCCAGTGGCCAGAGGTGACCTCCCCCTCGAGTTTGGTGGTTTGTATGTGCTCCTTTCTGCTGATGTGCTCAATAATGAACACTTGTTTTAGCCGAATCATGGCTACTCCTGTGTTTCTTTTTCTGCTGATGCTATAGTATGTTGTGTGTTGAATGCTGGTATGCTGTGTGTCCAGCTGAACCAGTACCAGACCAGCACTAAAACAGCCTAAACTAGCTGAGATCAGCATGGAATTCATGCTGGTCAGTGCTGTTTGTTTCAGTAGAATGAAACTGGATAACAGCTGAACTAATTTTAGCTTACTAGCAGATCGCTCTTCTATTACGGTATGGTAAGCTAACATTAGCTAATGTTAGGTAGCACATATTTTAATTTCAAGTGATTGCCATTTAGTAAAATAATTTTAATTCAGCATGCAGACAATGATAAGATGACCACATATGGCTGTTTACTGTGTATGTAAGTGTATGTCACGATGATGGTGGTAGCTCTTCATGACAAAAACATAGTTTCTGTTGTAACAAATAATCAAAGTGCATCCTGGATACTGCACTGCTTAAAGTGTACAGTCTTGTACACTCACATCCTCCATTTAAATCAAGTGTTTGAGGGCCTGCTTTTAGAAACATCCTCCTTTAACCCTTCCGAGAATTGGAATACCTTTCAAAATGGTGGCAGGAATTCTTTGTGCAGAGGGGAACTCTTGGAGCATCTTCAGGGATCAAAACAGTGGACAATCATTGAAGTTCTCACTTCAACAGTGCTGTATTGAGATGGTCTGTTTGTTCATACTTTGTTGTTGCAGAGTTTTTTTGCATTTGCAATTATTCTGTGTGTGTGTGTGTGTGTGTGAGAGAGAGAGAGAGAGAGAGAGAGGGGAGCATCTGTTGGTGTGTACGTGTGTGCAAGTGTGTGTGTAGGCTGGAGGCAGATGTCAGTTAGCTGAGCCTCTGGGGGAGGCACAGGCTTAAGCACTGCTTCTCTGGGGTGCAGAGGACGCTTATGCTGTGTGTGCTGTGTGTATGTGTGTGTGCCTGAGAGAGCAAAGGTATCGATCCCCGAGATCCAAGTGTGTATGTAAATGACCGTAGGTGCTGAAGGGGCATGGCAGGGGGTCAAGGGGTATGTGACAGATGGCAGCTGAGGACACAGAGATGGGGGTACAGGGGGCACGATGAGGAGAAAGACAGAAACAGGGAAATGAAGGAATGAAAGAAAGCAAATTAGAGGCGCGAGGCGCAAGGATAACGAGACAACTGAGACTATTCTGAGCATCATGCAATCTGTATTTGCATTCTGAATAGATTTTGTTGGTTTCAGATGAAGTCAGAAATGAAGCAAATAAATTAAGCAGCTGTTGTGCCATGACATTGTCTGCTAGTACAAAACTAACACAATTTTCAGTTTCATCCAAGATCCAATTTTTTTTAATCAAGTTAAAGGAATGGCTCAGCGAAAAATCAAATTTGCTCAATTTTCCACTTACACTGGATGCGGTTGATCAGCCAAGATATTTTTGGAGTCCAAATTTTGCTTTATTAATTTAGAACTGGAGCTACAAGGCTAGTTTAGGTAACACTGGAAGTCATAAAAAATGGTACGCATCCACTTCCATTTTTCCTTGATGCATTCTGCTGCAAAGGAACTATTGAACATATCTACGCCAGTGTTTTATTTGTTTTAATCTAACATAGAAGCTTGTAATGAGATTAAATTACAGACTAGGCATTTAATGCTCTTATAAATTTTAGAACACATCAGTCATCACATAAGTTTCTTGGCAAATCTCAATGCCAGGCTAGCTACTGTAGCAAGTAACCTTAGTTTAAACTTTGCATTCCCACTTTCAATCAAACGTCATTTCTTCAAATCTTCACTGTCAACAGGTGTGTATAAAACCAAATATTTTCACTGTTAAACTGCTACGGATTCAAATAAGAGAAAGAAAGCCTTTGTTTCCCCTCTCTTCCTTTGGAGCAAGTTGTATGTTTTGTTTGGTGTTCATGACAAAGACCTGTCTATTCTTGCCTGAACACAAAGTGGTAGCCACATTTGTATCGAGCTGAAATCTCCTGAATGTTTTCACTGCATGGCGAGGCAGATTTTGCCACACTGCAAACCATCATGCACCATTTGATGCAGCAGAGCTCTTGTTTTAAAATGAATAGGATGCAATGAGGTGAAGCTGAGTACCATACAACTTCTACCAACCCGCTCAAACCACACAGAGGTCTTCATTAAGCTACGCAAACTTGTTGGTGTGATGGTTGGTGCAGTATAGTGGGTGACATTGCTGTCCTCCCAGTGGCAGAGTGGGGTTTGATTCCCCACCTGGGCAAGCACACCTCTACCAATAAGAGCCTTTGGCAAGACTCCTAATACTGCATTTGCCTTCCAACGTAAACATTATTAAATTGTGGATTGAGTGGAACAATTCTTTTAAAGGGGTTCCTGCATTTCACTGTTGTAGAAACACCTTCAAAATGATGAACTCAACAAAAGAAGGACAAAATGTTCCCAACACTAATAAACATCAATATAATGAGACTTTGCTGACCATTTCTGGCGGTTGGTTGATCATGAAATGTTCATACAATGTAAATGGCAGCTGACATCAAATGCCATGCTAAAATAATAATAGAAAAAAATGGAGTGACAGCAACAGTATGCTTGTGTCTTTGTTCACAAATCAGCTTTTCAGTCAGTTAACACATTGCATTCGACCATAAGCAGTACAGACACGCTCACGCAGTAAATTCCTGAGTGAGTGATCACTCCTCATTAGGCTGAAGTAGTCTTTTCTCTGAACCCCTGCCTGACAGTAAGCAAACTTTTCAAACAAATAATTCAGAAGAGCATGCGTGTGTGTGTAATGAAGCCTCATCATTACTGCTCGTTATTATTCAGATACAGAGTGTACTGAGTATACTGAGCTTTAGGCTGCTCTGCATAACTCAGCTATAATAACTGTGATGGGAAACTAACACAGGCTATAATGATCACCCAGGACACTGTGTGTAAGACTGTGTGTGCATGTGTGTGTGAGTGTGTGTGGTGACTGTGTGTGTGTGTTTGCAAACAGAATTTAGTTTATTAAGCCTGTTCTATAGTCCAGGAAGTGAACAAACTTGTGGCCAAGGGACAGAGAGAAAGAGATAGACAGACAGGAATTGGTCAATTTCTCAAAACAGCCACAAACCATATCCATACATTTTAATATACAGATAAACAATGTAGTAGATCATTTGGTGCTCAATATGGTACAGCAAAAATTTAAATTATTAATTTTTCTATTTAACATTTTTTGGTATTTTTACACACCACACACACACACACACACACTTCATTAGGTACATCTATCTTGTATCCACACTCTTTGTCCATTTTACCAATTTACACTTTGTTAGTCCCCTTTCACCCTGTTCTTCAATGGTCAGATTCAGGACCCCAGCAGGACCACTACAGAGCAGGGATTATTTGGGTGGTAGATCATTCTCAGCACTGCAGTGACACTGGTGTCGTTTTAGTATGTGCTGTGCTGGTATGAGTGGATCAGACACAGCAGAGCTGCTGCAGTGTCCACTCACTGTCCACTCTATTAGACACGCCTACCTTGTTGATACACCTTGTAGACAGTAGCTCATCTGTTGCTGCACAGTTTGTGTTAATCATCCTCTAATCCATCATCAGTGGTCATAGGACGCTGTTTGCTGGATATTTTTGGTCGGTGGACTATTCTCAGTCCAGCAGTGACACTGAGGTGTTAAAAAACTCCAGCAGCACCAGCTGCTGATCCGCTCAGACCACTGCAACACACACCAGCGCACCACCACCACATCAGTGTCACTGCAGTGCTGAGAATGATCCACCACCAAAATAATGCTCTGTGGTGGTCCTGTGGGGGTCCTGACCATAGAAGAACAGGGTAAAAGGGGGCTACCAAAATATGCAGAGAAACTGATGGACTACAGTCTGTAATTGTAGAACCTGCAAAGTGCACCTATGTGTTCAATGGAGCTGACAAAATGGACAGTGAGTGTAGATGAAAGCAGGTGTATGTAATAAAGTGGCTGGTTCTTGTCTGTAACAAAACTTGCTCTGACAACAATACAAAGCTTATACAATACAATGTTGTGAATAAAAATATTGAACATTTATCTTCAGATCTTACTGTGTTGCATTAATGAGAATTTAGTCAAATTAAGTTAAATTATGTTACTAAAAACATATAAAATCCATTAAATGACTCAGGTTTACTTTTAATTATTCAACCAGACATCATTTTGAGTATATTCAAAAAAGAAAACAAAGTATTTAAGTTAATTTTTTCAGGTCAGGTCATCATATTTTTCATTTTCCAGGTGAACAGTCCAAATCAAAGCATAACTGTAAGGTAAGGAAGGAGGCTGGGCTTAGAGATATACTGAGCTTTAGGCAGCGCTGCACAAGTTAGCTTTAATAACTGAGACAGGAGAACTAACACAGGCGGTAATGATCACCCAGGACACTGTGTGTGAGTGTGTGTGTGTGTGTGTGTGTGTGTGTGTGTGTGTGTGTGTGTGTGTGTGTGCATATACAATTGTGCTTATTAAGCGTGTTCTGACCTTAGGGCAGAGCAGGCAGCTCTCTCCATCTCTCTAATACACACACACATACATATAAATACACACCACAAACTTACCATCAAATTCAGCAGGGCCCACACCCACAATGATGACGGACATGGGTAAAGCAGAGGCCTGCAGGAAAGCACAGACACACACATATCCCACACACATGAATAACAATCACTGAACACAGTCAAGTGCAAGCTACAGATCAGTTGAACTGAGTCTTCAAGTATGGAGAATCCAAACATGACATATGATCAGAGTTTATTTGTACAAGAAAAAAAAGCCATTAAAGCCCTCAGGGAACCTAAAACTGTGTGTTCTTTCTAAATTGGTTAATCTTGCTCTTGTGAACACACAATATCTGGCATAATCAAAAGTTTGGGCACCTTTGATTATACCCAAATTACAAGTTATATTGATTTTCCAAGTGAAATTAGGTTAAAACATTCTCTACACAGAACACACTTCCTCACATTTTAATGCACAATTACTGTTTGATTTCTGACTGTAAAATATTGATTAAAAAAATTAAAACAAAAAAGTGCCTTGTGCAAAACATGGCACATTTTGTATTTTTTTTTCCAATGTGTTTAAGGTTGTTGCCTATGGAGCCCTGCCGGTGACATCCTATATAAATAAAACAAAGGTGTGGGAATGAGAGAATTAAGTTATGGCGAGAACATGCTTTACTACGTCGTGGCCACGCATTAAGATCTTGTTTTCACGCCTTAAGTTATGGCCATGACTTAATTATGTTGTTCCCTCGCCTTACTATGTCGTGGCCGCACATTAAATTTAAACATGATGTCACCAGCAGGGTTCCGTAGTTACCTGTATAGAATGTGTTATCTTATTTTCACTTAGAAAATTAACAAAACATGTAATTAGACCAGATGTGTTCAAATTTGCATAGAACTGTTCATGTACAAAAAATGTAATGTGAATAACCTTCCAATGTCTACTAAATGGCTGATGTATTTTGCTGTATCCTCACCAATCACAAGGCTGATGTGAGTTGTTCCACCCACAAAGCTAACAAAACTGTGTTCCCCTGCTGACTCTGTCTGTTAGAGTAGAAAAACTTGCTGAAAGAAAGCTAACAATGAGCAAAAGCAAGCAAATATAACTGAGCTATCGAGCTGTCTGCCCACCGTTCAATCGTTTGTCCTTACCTTCTTTAAGAATACCATATAAAAGCTGGATTTCCAACACTACCTGCATATGTAGTGCTTGTTTCAATGTCTCCCCTGATCGCCCTGGTTTTAGGTCTGCTTGAGTGGTGTAGCAGGGAGGGATGTCAATCACATGTGTTCATGAGAATATGAGGACCACACTCAGGCAGTTCCCAGGTCTGATCAGTGTTTTTAAGCCATATTTATTTCTGTTTTGTTTTTTTCCATTCAAGTTTTGCTGGATGCTTATATAACACTCAATTATAGTATCACATAAATATTTTTAATATTTTACAGTGTTCCCTGGGACTTTAAGCTATTCAAACACAATTATACATAAATGGCATAGGATGAAGATTACTATCAGAGCCCAGAATGCTACTATTTCACACTTAACTTAGTATAGTTGATGTTTGTTAGTACCCCTTAACTGCAGGCAACAGGCATATTAACATATTTAGAATTTACAATTACATGTTATTAAATGAAGAGTTCTGGTTCTGAAGTCTGATTCTAAAATATGACTCTAAAATCTGAATTCATTCAAAACCACTGTAAAATATGCATTATACACACATATGACTGCACACAACTGCTGAGTGTGGCATCAATATGCCAAACCATTAAAAGCTATTGTGCTGTTCATGGAATAATCTTTGACTGTTATGTCGTTTGTCAAATGAAGCCTGCTGTCAACAAACTACATTTCTTGTAAAACGAATTGTTTATTGTAATGAATAATTAATAACTCACAAATAATACATTAATTAATAATACATTTATAATACATCAAATTATTTATTAAACATTGATGCATTTTGTTATGATGTATTCTGTCACTGTTTTATAAAAGCACTCACAGTCTCTTGCATTTTGCCTTAAACACTCCACGTAACACAGGGCCTCTTGTGGGTTATTGCAATATGTTCAAAAGTATCCAGACACCTCTTCTAATTAGTGAACTGAACCGGCGTGCAAATGCACACAGCTTGTATGATCTCTATAGAAAAGCATTGCCAACAACATGCTCTGATGTTCTGAGCAGCCACACATGAGCCTATGGTCATCATGCGCTACTCCAAACATTAGCTGGAGCGGTTTAAAGCACCCCAGCATTGAGAACCGTTTTCTGTGGAGTGATGGAGCTCTATCCAGTACATTTGAAATGGGATTTCTGGACATATAGTGTACATATGCATATTCTGGTTTATTGCAGATTCAAGAGGAAATAGGCTTTCTCACGCTGACAACGGCCTCTTTGGTCTGCACCATGTCTGAGATGACTCCATCTGTGATCATCAGCAGCACGAAATACTGCGAGCCATCAGTCACATCCTGCGCTGACCTGAGAGAGACACACATAGATAGAGAAGACAGATGGCATGGAGGTCTATAGGTCCACAAACATACATACAATTATGTAAACCACATCATATCATTTCTCATTACACCCCACAGGCCAGTAAACAATGTACAAATGTCACTTTGACCTTTCAAAATATGCCTCACTCCCTTTACCCATGGAAGCCATCACTTAATCATAACTAAGCATATAATAATAATAATAATAATAATAACAATAATAACAACAACAACAACAATAATAATGATGTCCATTTTTGCTAAAGTCACAGAGCTTCCTCACATACACAGCAAGCAGACCACTGGCTGACCACTGAAATCTGACTGGCTGCCTTGGGTGCTACCCCAAACTTTATTTCACATCACTGGCTGATTAAAATGCATCCACCCACTCATGAACTGAAAGTAGTTCAGTGCATGATGTTACATGCAGTTTGACACCACCAGAGCAAAGCAAAAGTAATAAAACTGCAAGTTGCTTATAATGTTTTCTCTCCATGTCCTCACTATATTGGCAGGTAGGTACCACAGTCTCTTTCATGTGCATTCATTTCTAGTCATATATGAATTTAGCTAACTAAATGAGTATTTTGTATTTCTCAGTGATCTTTTGAGTTTTAATTTCTTTTGCTATCATCATCTGCCCTATTAAATCATGATCTTTGCCAATTTTATTACAGCCTCTGAAGTGTCATTGGTCACACAATGGACACCCTGATTTACACTAGAATCGCCACTGTGTTACAAAGAACAGCTAATGGTGCTAGAATTGTTATAAATTACTGTCAGGTTGATTTATGTTCACAAATGGTGGAGGAGATCCTGATGTAGTCAAAGAATCGTTCATACTGAAAAATGTGATGCACTGAATTTACGTGATCCACATGTGTACATCATTTCTACATTAATAAAATATATCAAATGAACACAATTATTTTCAAAAGTAATTAACTGACTGATTGTAAAGCAAGTGATTGATTATTTATGGAGTTAATGAAATAAACTAAGTGCATTACTTTTTTTCACTGCATGCACTACAAAATAATTCAGATATCAGCTAAATGTTTTCAGTTGATCTTGTATTTCCCAGAATTAGTCTCTTCTGATGGATTCACACGGCTGTAAACCATAAATCAGATACAATTTTCGGACACATAATTTTTTGGCAAAAGTATGTTTTGCTAATGATTCTCATAACTATATTCATGAACATAAACAGGTCTTGACTTTTACTACAGGAGGCATTTGTAAGTGACTGTCAGTGCTGTGTGTGGAGGTGTGTGTGTAGGTGTGTGTCTGTGTGTGTGTGAGACGTGCAGGTAATAGTCCCCACAGCATGAGTTATGGGGGTCCCACTGGCACCGTGTCTGATTGGCTCAGCATCACTGTGTGCCCACGAGGCAAAATCTCCCACCAACTAAATGGCAAAAGTCTCTCTCTCTCTCTCCCTCTCTCTCTCTCTCTCTCTCTCTCTCTCTCTGTCTGTCTGCATAGCTCTCACTCCATCCTCATTACATCTCACTACCTCTCTGACATAGTGTCTCCCCAGCATAAAATAAGCTAAAACAAAAGTATCACTGACTCTTGTTGATAACCTCCCTCCCTCCCCCCTCCTCTCTCTCTTCTCTCTCCTCTCTCTCTCTCTCTCTCTCTCTCTCGCTCTCTCACACACACACACAAACCTTCGTGAAGTACAATATTTTGTGTGTAGATGTTAAGCACTGACTATGAAGCATAAGAAAAGTGGTCTGAGTGTCTAAATCAGTCTAAACTCACCTACTGCCACCTAACAACAGCAGAGTGAGTGAGAGCGACAGAGAGAATGCTGACAAGTCTGTCCTCCCCCTCGTCCCTCTGCGTGTGAGCTCTTGAAGCTTCTAGTTGGTATATCTGTGCCGTTACGCAACAGCCATCTCCACTCTCCCAACATGATATTACTATGGCAATGAGCCAGCTATAAATAAATGATGGGTATATGGAGTGATCAGAAATGAACAGAGTCAGAAGAGCTAACTGACACAGCACAACGTCCTCAGACAGAAAAAACATCCTAACTCAGAGGAGAAGACCCTGTATGTGTGTGTGTGTGCGCGTGTGTGCGTTTGTGTGTCTTACCGTGCTACCTGGTTAATGACCGGGGCGAAGTTGGTCGGCCCGTACAGCTGGACTGTTCTGAGACTCTGGAAGTAAGCCTCCAGCACCCCCTCTATACCCACACAGTTTGGATCCTCACTGTTACCGTTCTACAAAAATCACACAGATAACATATAGAAATGAAATTAGATTTATTTTAATCCTAGACTAAATGCTGTTTCAGTGATGAGCAGACTTGATCAAATTATTGGTATTGTGGTATCATGTGATATGTAACTTTGCAGTAATGGAGTTATGAAATAACTGAAATCTGGGTGGGACCAGGCCTAGACCCCCTCATCTATCCAACCTAATGTGCTATAAATTTCCAATCTATTCTTTCCAATTCCTGGGAGGATGCTTTCGCGCCACATCTCTTGCCTATTCCTCGGTTTGATCTCTCTTAGTCTGACTTCTGGACATTAGAGGGGGGTCCGGCCTTCTGGGTCAAATCTGCCTAGAAAAGTAGTCCGAGTTCTCAGAGTTTTCTCTCCTCCTACACTCATACTATCTTTTTCACACTTATGCTGAAGATACAGTCTGAACTAGTAAAGATAATGAACCTATACCCAGTGTGTGAAATATCCCCCCCATGTTGGCGGGCTAATCTAGTGTTGAGTGGTTGATCACTCACCCTAGTGGTACAGATGCTAGTTTCAATTCAACAAAATGTTTGGTTTAACAATTTCTTCTGGAAATGCTCTTTCAATACTGCTAAAACTAAAAAAATCAATATTATTCTTTCACACTAACAGATGATGCAGATGACTGCCCAGTACGAATTTAATCTTGTTTTTAACAAATCTGATTTCTTAAGGTTTTCCAGGGTTAAAGACTTTAGTTAAATTCAACTTGAATGCACATCTTGTAGCTACATCTTGATGGAACCAAATGTAAGACCACTTTTAGTAATTCAGTGTCTGACTGAGATGAAGTAAGTCTCCTTGATCATGTCAGTGTATGTAGACATATCAGTAGTGACACTGAGTACTGAACGCAAAACGCAATGCTGCTGTAGAAATGTATAGTGCAGTACAGCATGTCGTTGCCGTTGGAGCAAATGTAAAGGATATTAAGGTAAAGGATGGACCAAAAATGTATCTTCAGCATATGGAATAACAATGTAAAGGCATTTTCAAATTATGTCATATACAAGGTTTTGTTCCAACAACAGCGATATACAGTGTTCTTAAGATAAAGGAAACCCCTACTAAGGCGATGTCTACTACTACCTCTTTTGTAAACAGTAGTGTGAGGGCATGCATGTGGACGGCAGCCTTTGGGAATAACTTGCTCATCTTTATTACAGAAACATCTGCCTAATCAAAAAGAATCCCTCCAGACTGTAAGACAATAACCCAAAACTAAATGAAATTTAACTGTGTGGAAAAACAACCACACAAGTTTTATATTGGTTTAATTATGGCCTGACTCTTCATAAGTTAATCATACTTACATACACAGTAGGTGTAATTTGGGTCGTTATCCCCAGCAGCATTAGCTAATCCTTATTATTATACTTTACATAAGGAATGAGCCAAGTAATGACACAAAAACATCAAGCAGAATGGTACAATCATGAAAATACCGAATATAAGAGATAAAATAGTGAATTTGCTGAAACCAGTGCCTCAAGTTGTAAGCATTTTTTACACTCATATATAACAAGACATAAATAGCCTAGATCAAATGAGATGAAACATCATGATTTAGGCAAGTGGTCTGCAGGAAGCTAAACTAGTGGACTACGTACATTACCTGTGAGCTACATTAGCGTCATAGCCCCAAGATCAAAACTAAAAAAGTAAAATCTGGGTACCAAACATGTCTTAGCTTAATTCTGAATGTCCTCTGATAAAAATAGGTGTGCAGAGAACTCTGTGTTTATTGTAGGGGAGCACAAGGCACAAACTAAGGTGGGATGAAAAAACAAGTTTAAGCAGAACATGCTTTTTGGTCTTCTCTATTCCCATTGCATTGTCAAGCTACAGAAATTACATCTATGTTACTTTATTTATCCACCTGGCAGCTGCAATATAGCACCATTTCAAAACATATAAGCGACTCACTGTGGGAGCTAGCCAGGCTAAAGTACAACCTCCCCACAGTGGACTTTTAACATTACAGCAAAGCCTCCTACAGTGAACAATGCGAGAACTCTTTATCCCCCTTATAAATTCAAAACATTCACATTTTTTGGAAGTTTTACGCATGGATTCATCAAAAGTGTGCTACAGATATCATGTAAAGCATATATGTACATTTTTTTGCACTGATATTTCCTTTACTACTTTTTGTTCAAACATAATCTGTTACATTTGACAGCCTTTTTTCACTAATCATATATATTTTTATGAGTATATTTTTACATATTTAGTTTAGAAAGCGCATCTGGTTCAAACAATATAGAATTAGATATAATTAATTCTGTCTGCATTATTTTAACACATTTTTTAATGAATGTTAAAACTAGTCTGTCCTCGCCTGTGGGGTTAGTTGTAACATTTGCGGCTGAATTGCTCATAAACTATTGTTCGTAAGCAGTGCTGGAAACAAAGTTACATTTTCATTTGTAGCAGTGATGTTCAGGGTGCTTGCAATAAAATATATCAGTCTTGCTTAAACACTTTTAAAATTATTTAGCAAAAACCGAAAGGTGATAAGTGGTACCCCGCACTCGCCTATATATGATAAAATCAGTGACTGCAAAATTACCATCTACTACTAAATGACATAGAAGAGTAATTTCTGTACACAAGTCCCAGTATAGCTCTGATTTGTTAGCTAGGAGAAGACACACTTGACCAAGGCTCTGATCCCAGTAAGCTTCCCTACTCAACCCCTGAGGACACAGAGAGAACAATATAAATTTACTTTCTCCATCATTAAATACAGCCTTCATGGACTGACTGAATTCGAGCCAAAGATCTAAGATCTCTATATAGGCCGTTAGCTTGATCTTCTCAGTGTGGAGAAGAGGCTGGAGTGGCCTCCGGCGGCCTCCACGGTGCTCATGCGTGGCTGTGCATTAGATTGGCAGATCCGCTATGGCAGATTGGAGCGAATGACCCTCCGACCCTGGTGAGCAGAGAGCAGGAGAGAGGGAGATTGAATGGGGCTGAGAGTGAATCGCTTTTTACAGGAGCGTGACCAGCCTTTCATTTCTCTCTGATTTTGGGGATTTCCGTGCAACGTTGAAAGCAAGGGTGACCTTTTCCAAAACTGTCTGACACATGCAAATTTCTTTAGTCAAATTAAATTTGCTTTTGATTCAAATGGAATTCCATCCTAATCTTTTTCAGAAAGCAATTTTTGAACTTTTCCGCACTGAAATGAGCTCAGAACACTTGGCCTGTGGAGAATGTACACAGTAAACAAGACAATGTGCAGTGAATCCTGAAGGTCAACATCATCTTGTATCAAATGCACTGGTACTGTCCTGATATGACTCTTAAAAAAGAGTGAAGGAAATAGAGCAAGAAAAAGAGTGCGGGGGGAGGGAGTGTTAAAAGAATCCAAACACAAGAACAAAGGCAGTGAGGCATCGTTAGCTAATATGTCACTGTTGTAATTGAAGTTGCTTTAGCATGACGCTGTTTCAGTGCTGTCACGCTAAGGTGAGTTCTAATTAAGGGGAAGGTGATTACAGCTACTCTCATATTCCAACAAGAGGAAAAGTTAACAGCTACAAATAGTTCTTGACAACTGCAAGTGGCCCCTTACAGTTCTACAAAGTTCTAGACATCTCCAGGTATGGTTTCTGTCTTACTATATTATAACTTATGTTTTATTATAATATACCTATACCAATGATTTGTCTGTCCTGTGCATTGTAATTATGCAGCTTTATTTAAATACAACTCCAATTCCAAAAAAGTTGGGACGCTGTGTAAAATGTAAATAAATGTAAATAAAAACAGAATGCAATTATTTGCAAATCTCATAGACCCATATTTTATTCATAATAGAATACAGAACACATATCAGATGTTGAAAGGGAGACATTCATTTCATGAAAAACATGAACTCATTTGGAACTTGATGGCAGCAACGTATCTCAAAAAAGTTGGGACAGGGGCAACAAAAAGCTGGAAAAGTCAGTGGTACTAATAAAAAACAACTGGAGGAGCAATTTGCAACTAACTCACATGACTGGGTATAAAAGAGCATTTTAGAGAGTCTCTCAGAAGCAAAGATGGGCAGAGGTTCACCAATCTGCGAAAAACTGCGTCTAAAAATTGCGGAACAACTTCAGAAAAATGTTCCTCAATGTAAAATTGCAGAGACTTTGGATATCCCACCATCTACAGTGCATAATATCAAAAGATTCAGAGAATCTGGAGAATCCCTTTATGCAACGGACAAGGCTGACGGTCAATCTTGGATGCCAGTGATCTTTGGGCCCTCAGGCGGCACTGCATTAAAAACAGGCATGATTCTGTACTGGAAATCACTGCATGGGCTCAGGAGCACTTCCAGAAATCATTGTCTGTGAACACATGCAATCCATAAATGCAAGTTAAAGCTGTATAATGCAAAGAAGAAGCCATATGTCAACACAATCCAAAAACGCCACCGTCTTCTCTGGGCCCAAGCTCATTTAAAATGGACTAAGGTAAAATGGAAAACTGTTCTGTGGTCAGAAGATTCAAAATTTTAAATTATTTTTGGAACCACAGACGCTGTCCTGCGGACTCAAGAGGAGTGGGACCATCCAGCTTGTTATCAGCGCACAGTTCAAAAGCCTGCATCTCAGATGGTATGGGGTTGTATTAGTGCCTATAGCGTGGGCAGCTTATACATCTGGAAAGGCACTATCAATGCTGAACAGTATATAGAGATTTTAAAAGAACACGTGCTCCCATCCAAACAACGTCTCTTTCAGGGAAGGTCTTGCATATTTCAGCAAGACAGTGTTAAACCACATACTGCATCCATCACAACAGCATGGCTTCGCAGAAGAAGAGTCCGGGTGCTGAACTGGCCTGCCTTCAGTCCAGATCTTTCACCAATAGAAAACATTTGGGGCATTATGAAATGAAACATCTGGCAAAGAAGACCCAGGACTATTGAGCAGCTAGAATCCTACATCAGACAAGAATGAGACAACATTCCTCTCCCAAAACTCCAGCAATTGGTCTCCTCACTTCCCAGACGTTTACAGACTGTTGTTAAAAGAAGAAGGGATGCTACACAATGGGTGACACGGCCCTGTCCCAACGTTTTTGAGATCCATCAAGTTCGAAATGAGTTGAAATTTTTCATGAAATGGGAAAATATCTCCCTTTCAACATCTGATATGTGTTCTATGTTTTATTGTAAATAAAATATAAGTCTATGAGATTTGCAAATCATTGCATTCTGTTTTTATTTACACTTATTTACATTTTACACAGCATCCCAACTTTTTTGGAATTGGGGTTGTAAACAAATCTTGTCGGTTTCAGTTTATCTGAAAACGATCTTATCTGAAAGTATCTGAAAAGTACCCAAACCTATTCTGAGATGTCCTCACAGTGCTGTTTCCAACCATATATCGAAAAATCAAAAGAGAATTCCACCAAAAAACTATTTGCATTTCCCAATGCATTCTGGGACCCTGCAGTGTCAGTTTTACTACATAGTAGGGGTTTAAAGATTCTGAAACCGAGACTGAACCCATGACACAAACATCCACAGTCTCTCTACCCCCTCCGCCCCCGCCCCAAAATAATGTAACAAAACTGAGCATAAACTAAAGTTTGGTGCAATTTAACTGACAACCCACAACAGCTGCACGTCTCACTGACTGAGACTGTAAGCTTGCCAGGTACTAGCTGAAAGCTAGACTCGTGACGAGTGAAGTTATGAAGTATGAAGGACTCTCTGCTCTGCAGGCCAAAATTCCGCACTCACAGAGTACACCTGACACCTCTCACTCTCACTGTGCCATTCAATCTCTCTCCATGTCAATTCTGCTGCCTCTTCTTCTCAATATCTCCCTATTTTTTTCTGTCATTTACTCCCTCCTCACTTTTCTCCCTCTCTCTCTCTCTCTCACTCTGTCTCTCTCTCTCTCTCAGCACCCATCCCTATGGACAAAGTGCAGCAAAAGCTCAAGGATAAATCTTTTCTGTCTTCATTATTTCAACGGCTTATTTGTTGTCTAATTCACTCACGCAGCGGCTCGCTAAAAAGCCCAGTACGTCCTCTAAAACATCAAAGAATCCCCAACTGTTTTTCATCAATTCCTCTTTTATTCTCTCTCTTCATTAAAGAAAAAAGCCATTTTTTTTAGTGTTATGAGGAGGACTGCATAGCTTTGTGAGTCAGTATGTTCCTCTACCGTTCTCTCCACCTCTATCTCTCCTCTCCTCTCCTCTCCTCTCCTCCGCCTCTTCTCTCTCTCTCAGTCACTCTGGCCAGCCTCTCTTGCCTCTGGGCTTAAGCAGACTCTTGAGTTACCATTGTGTGCTTCATATTTCATAACCAGAGCTTATTCAGGTCTTTCATTTTTCATAAGGCCCTTCTAACAATCTCAGAGTGATGACGCTGGATTTGTTGTGCTCTGTTGCCTTGGAGCGGACGCTGAAGTCAAGCGAGTGTTTATACTAGATCCTGATTTGTTCTCAGTAATATGTAATAAATCAAGGACAAATAATCTTATCAATACTCTGGTTTATGTTTAAATCACTGTGATCAAAATATTAACTATACACAAAAAGTTGCATGCAACACAGTCAGTTAGGCTGACTTCACACATTGAAACATCCATGCAATTAGTTGCATGTTGCAAACTGTATGCAATCTAATTTTAATATAACTTGATGGTTGCGCAAACTATATAAAAAGTTGCACGCAACACATTCACTTATTCCACTAGTTAGCCAAGTATATCACCACCTCTATTGCTATTTGTCATTTAACTCTCTATCTATAATTCTTTATATTTATATATATTTTAGTTTTTTTTTTTTTGTTTCCCCACTATTAGCATCAGCTGCCTATTTAAACCAGCTGTTTACAAAAATGTTTTGGAAAACTCAAGTTTGTTGTCCTGGACCAGGGAACTGACAAAATACCACTACCAACCAGTCTGTCGAGGGGTCTCCTTTTCAAACTAACAACCAGTCTGTCAGAGGGGTCTCCTTTTGAAACTACCTACCAGACTGTTAGGGGGGCCTCCTTTTCAAACTACCAACTGGTCTGGTCTCCTTTTCAAACTAACAACCAGTCTGTTGAGGGGTCTCCTTTTCAAACTAACAACCTGTCTCCTGTTTTATTTCCTTGTCCATTGTTACATTTAAATCAGTCGTTTTAAGGTTTGTTGTACGATGTGATCGTGTAACGCATTATCTGCATTTTAATTGGCTGTTTTCAAACAAATTGTAGGACACTTTACATTATGCAACTCAAGTTTAGTTTCATGTAAGTCTCAAGCAACTGAAGTTGCATGGACGTTTCACCACCTGCCACTTGTACTCCACTAGTAAACCAAATTAGCAGCTGGTATATTTAGATACACCATAACATTCTTGCTTTAAAGTCTTCCACGAAATGTACTTTACATATCTGCAGCATTTTTAGCATCTTTGTACATTTTTTCCAGATGTCACTGCTGTTTTTTTTCTATATCTGTTTATCCGTCTTTTACCTATCTATCTAGGGTTCTTTACTATATATTGTGTTTTTATCTGTTGTTTGCATGTCAAGCCTTAAAAATTATGTTTATGCATCTATTATGGTTATAGCCTACTAGATGCCTTTCTCATCCTGTCCTAGAAGCACAACAAGTTTAGTGAGGAGCGAATCTCCGTCTCCTCTTCTGTAACAATTTGCAACCTTTGGTTCCCAAATAAATCTGAGCTCTGTGTAAAACTAGTGGGTATCAAGAGAGGAGAAAAATGAATCTAGCTACATAAATCATGTTAACAGCAGTTTCAGACAATTGACAAAATTAAATGAAAAACTACCAACTATGAGTCAGGGGAGAATGTGTGTGTGTGTGTGTGTGTGTGTGTGTGTGTGTGTGTGGGTGTGTGTGTGTGTGTGGGTGTGGGTGTGTGTGGGAGGGAGAGTCTCCTTTTGAAACACCCAACATGAAAGTTTCACAGTGTAAAGCCAGCCTAAGATATTTTATTAATGTGGACATGATGTGCACATTTGCATCAAGTACACTAAGTGAATTATTAGTTTATTCATTGTATGCTGAAATACAAGACAAGAAGACAAGACACTCATATGAAACTCTAACCTTACCCTCATAATAACCCCCAAACCTATAGCCTCAAATCATATTTTAAAGTCTATAATACCAGCAAAACCATTTTGGAGAACTTCACAATCACAACTATTACGCAAAATGTGAATTTTAAATGATAACTGTATTAGTGGTTACAGCAATGATGAAATGACTGATGTGAGACAGCCCAGTAAGAAGAATGGAAGAGGAAAGAACCTAGCTGTATTGCAGTGCTGTTTGAGATTTATTATAATGATCTCACCAGAGGAAACGCATGAGAGATTTTGCCATCCGGTGGCAGTTTGGCTCCAAAGCCATATGCGGGGAAGAGCTTGTCACTGTCGTAGTCCTGGATGATCTCCCCCACTGCCTTCAGTGCCATGGCGTAGGTGTTCATCTGATATGGGCTCATGTAGTGCAGCGAGGTTGGCTGGGCTGGGTTCCCTAAGATCAGAGAGGGATTGGGAACACACCTTATTTTAGTATGGCCTAATGAGCAGCTTTGGGATTAAGACTGAGTCCCTATCCAAATACATGCTCATTTTTATTGTCTGCACAGCAGCCATTCTGTTTGAGCACACTGGAAACAGGTGGCAAAAAAATCTAAATGGAAATACCCAGATGCCTTTTGGGAGTATATTTGACACAGTTTATGCTGCACATATCAGAAATATGGCTGGGACAATAAATTATTACGAAATATCAATAAATCAGGACAAAATTACTGATGCATTATGTTATTTTCATTATTTAGAACCACAGGTATATTAGTTACATATTCAGTATATCTAGGACAGTTTGTGTCAGAGGGGCAACAAAGCCTTAACCCCTTGAAATCCCAGAGTCTGAATAAGAATCACTTTTTTGCCAAGGAATTTGTCTCAATGAGTGCACACATGTAACATACTGAACAGACAAGACAAGCATCGTTAACAAGTATTTAACTAAGGGAAAAATACAATTAAAAAACCAGTAAATAGAATAAGAATATAGAATAAAGAATAATAAAGAGCCATGGAGAAGAGCCAAAGAGATGTATGAATGCATACATATGCAGATAAGAATATCTATACATACACAGATCTGAGAAGAAATATACTATAAAAACTATTATATACAGAACATTACAAAATGATACGAACATCTGTAAAAATTCAACATCTATACAGCTGCAAATAAGCATTACGTTACCGAGGAGTTCCTGTAATACAGTAAGGAGGTTTGTTGGTTTAGATTAAGTTTAAAATGTGAGGTGTCCACTGTGTTTAATGAGCTACAGCTCTGGGAAAACAAGTTGTTAGCATGTTTGGGTGTGCTGGTTTTGATAGCCCTGAATCTTCTTCCAGAGGGAAATGGCTGGAAGAGGTGATGTCCAGGATGAGAGGGGTCAGCTGTAATTTTGCCAGCATGCTTCATGCTGTTGTAGATGTCCTGAAGCGTTGGCGGACTACATCCTATGATCCTGATCAAACTGGTTGAGCTTTGTGGAGAGGTGTGAATTATTTTCACAGCAGGGGGTTCCATCCCTCCCCTTCCATTGCTCACTAACAACTCAATATAAAGTCCCCTCATTTCACGCAAAGAGTGTCCTAGTTTATCTGATAACAAAGTCAAATAAAAAATTATTTTATTTGAATATATTAATTAATAATATTTCAATCGATTTCCATTCCGCTGGAGAAATGGCCACTAGGGGGTTTGCAAAAAGAGATTAACATTTGAACTCACAGTTTGTTCACTCATTTTAACGTTTTTTGAAGTGATGAACTGAAGCAGTGCCTCTAACTCACAAACCCACAAATACAGCACTTCTGCAGAGCTTCAGCTCCTGTGCAAGTCAGTATTGAACTTTTTAGCAGAATGGGCCATTAAACAGTATCCACGTTTACATGGAGCCTGATAATCCGACTAATAGCTCAACCGGAATAGAATACGTCCATGTACACACCTCAGTCGGAATAGACTAGTCCGACTGAGGCCATTCCGAATACAATTTCTATCCAATTGAACAAGGTGGGTAATCCTGTAAATAATCCGAAAAATAGACAAATGATAGCCATGTAAATGCCTGTATCCGATTACATTCCCAGTCGGAAAGTTTAAGTACGCTCTGCACATGTGCGTTCGCGTCCCAGCAAAAGTTTATAACATTCAACATGGCAGAAGCAGAAACTGGTCTGCAGAGGTGACGAAGTTTATGTTTTAAACCTTCGAAATTGGCGGTGGGACCTCTCGCCCTTCTTTAGTAAGAACATGTGAAGTATGTTTTCCTGAGTCGGCCATAATTTTAAAGTAATTAAAAACACAAGTGCGCCAGCTGAAAACTCTGATTCTGACTGGACTCACATAATGCTTTTTATGGTAACATCTACACTAAGTGGTACTCTACGCATGTGCGTAATTTCGGGTAGGATTACTTGTAGTGACTGCTGGGATAGGCTCCAGCTCCCCTCGTGACCCAGAAGGATAAGTGGCTTGGAATTACATGTAGTGTGCTTGTAAACAGAGATTTTCCATGAATTTCCATGAGTGAGCATATAAACACCTCAGTCTTAATCCGTAATCAGAACATATTCAATAGGATTGTCAAAAATCTTTGCATGTAAACATAGCCAGTGTCTTTAATTGGAATGGCTTAAAGAAAAATTCTAAATCTGTTGCTGTTACTACTTAATGGATCCATTTCTTATTCCTCTTTGACTTCCTCCCAAGTGTTTAATAAAAAACACTTTGGCGTGATATTCACTCACACTATTATGGCACAGAGCAACTCCCTACTGTGTATGTGAATGAACCAGGACTGGAGTTTCGGATAACAGATCAGACCCGACTGGATCACAGCTGTTATCTATAATTATTGATAAACCAATAAGTGGTCCCAGCACTAATTAGAAAACAGTAAAACTACAGTACACAGTAGACTTTTTATCTATAATTTGATAAGTTGAGTTTGAGTTTAAGTTTTATCTATAATTTGATAAGCTTAGACAATCAGTTACTTTAAATACAAATTTCAACAATAATAACAATTATAACATGTCTTAAACACATGTAGCTATTCACTTTTCTACAGAATATTAGTTACACTTCATAAATCCTTGAGTGAGTTTCCCCCAAGGAAAAGAACGACCCCACACAGCATGTGCACGTCACCCACAGAGCAATACAGCCCATCGCCATGGGTCAGCACACACTTGTCACTGCATAAAAAGTAAGGCTTTATTTAAATCAGCCTGAATTCAAACCAACGAACCGATGAAATTCTCACTGGTGGTCTGCAGCACAGTGCAAAACTATTAGGTAATCAGTTGCGATCTGGGCTGCATTGCAAGCTGCATTTGTGAATGACTGTAGGCAGAAGGTTGAGTGCTGAAAGAAGAGCGTGTTTTGTGAGAAATCTGGAGTTCTATTCAGCCGAATCTTTAATGCTTCATGAATGAGTCATCCTCGCTGTTTCAAATGAAGAGAGTGATACAGTACACAGCCCCTGGGAGCGAGACAAGCTCAGCATGTACATGACTGTAAGTAATGTATCATGCATGTGACTGAGACAGAATTCCTCATGTACTATCCAGGCCTTGAACAAATGAACGTTTAGTGTTTGCAGCGTCAAGCAAGATCATTAATTAACATTGGATGAATGAAGGCTGAAAGAAGACCTTTTTAGCTCAGTACAGACATTCATTAAATCACACTTGTGTGATTTCATGGTCTAAGTTCATAAAGGTTTATTGAGCAAACCTCTCAAACTCTTCTCACCACTGTAACACACATTGCTAATAATCATCACTGCTGTGTTCATTTTTCTAACTAGGACGGTTAGCTAAGCATGCAGCAAGGCTAGTCAGCATTCACTGGATACATAAATGGTCTTCAGCTTCACTGCAGATCAGGCCTCAGCCATTTCAACCTTCAGATTTTGATATTTGTTGCTGTATTAATGCTTACTAAATGCTTACTTGCTAAAGCTTTAAAGGAATACTCCAGCAGTTTTCAACCTAATCTCTATCTGCTGTATTTATATGTTAACATTCATTATGTAGGGACCACAGGGCACCTTTCTGATCATATCTGGATTCCAGCCTTAGATCCCCTGCAACCTCTCCATCATACCTCTATAAAGGTCTGACCTCAACATGCCGTATCTGGTACCTGATGGTACCCAGACTTATCCAACTTCTTTTCAAGGTTTATGGCCCTGAGGGATTATGAGGTTATGAAAGCCTTCCTGTGGGCAAGGCCAGACTTCCTCTAAAAAGCGTCATAAAAGGGAGTCTGTCTTATCCAAATCCTCAGGAAGATTGACAGACCAAAAGCCTTAAAACGGAAAAGGTAACATTTGGAGACAGAGTGTGTGACATCGCTCTCTGACCCAGCAGCGCAATGAACACACAGTTTTTAATGGGGAAAAAGGATAACTGTACCATTTTCACAAGAAGAGAATCTTCCATTAGCAACACCGAAGTGACAATTTCACAGGATGTTCATCATATCATGTGACTGTGAAATGTCATAGGAATGTGTAATTGTTTTCTCTCAGATGTGCATGTAATATACAAAACATGCCATGAGACATCGGAATGATCTTCACAGTTGTGGGACACACCAGTTGCATGATATGGACCTAAGTTTACATCTAGTATCACAAAGAAAGCCTGTAGGCTTGGTGAAGACTAGAGGAGGACCCCAGACTCTTCCCATGTGGAAGGAGGGCCAACTGGCATTAAAGAATGAATGTGACATGGAGTGGTTGCTTCCCACACCTAAACCCTATGAAATCATAGCACAAAGTTTTCTTTGAAGTTGCGAATTGGAGGTCTTCCTGATTTGCAGTCACCAACTCCGGAGTCGAAACTTTCACCTTTCGACTTTTCGACTGATCCCATTTTGAGCTCAGATCATTTCTTACTCCTCAGTAGATGAGACAATGCATGCAAACCCCTGGACTGGTACCTCTGTCTGTCCTTTGTGACTCCTGAAGGCGGACCCTATTTGATGGAAGCCACTGGCCGGAGGCTAAGTCACTGAACCCAAGGACACACGTTTGAGTGTTAATATAAGCTTCTCTCTGCTTCCATTCCAATATTGGCATGGTTGCAAGTCTAGAGACACTGTAAACCCTCTAGAATCTAATTTGCTATAAACTCTAGTTGTTGTTTGTCATCTTACATGAGGAGTTAATTAATTCTACTTTTGGTTTTCATTCAGACAACCTAACAGTACTGCTTATTTGAGTTTAAACACATCTCTTAGATTTCTCACATTATCTTGTTCAGTGTGTTTATTTTACTTTGTATGCTGTTGTCTTTTCCTATACACATATATCTTTTGTTACCTTTTTTACAAATTGCTTTATTAAATTTTGTAAATGTTTTACCCATGTGTGCATATCTTGTGTAACACCTAAAAATAAACACCAATTTTTGGGAATTAAATTTTCTTCAGATAATGAAAATTATTACTGTTTCTATAGATATTAATGGACTCTTTTGTAATGCAAGTATACCTTGTTCAGAGACTATTCTGTCCTGTTGGACTGGTGCCCCACTTATTAGAAATTGTTATTATTAATAATACTTTCTAATACCTTAATTAATAGTAACAATTTACCTTACAATTATCATGGACTACAATTTCAACATTTCCCTAGCCTAGAAACACCATAGCAACCACCTGGGACACTATAGCACTGGCCTAGCAACACCTTGACAACCACCTAGGATAACATGGAAACAATCTAGCAACACCTTAGCAACCACCCTGAATACCACAGCAATGGCCTGGCAATACCTTTGTGACCACGTGGGATAGCTTGGCAATCACTTGAGATACCATATCAATGGTCAAGTAACACTGTAGCAGCCACCTAGGACACTACAACAACAGCCTAACAACGCCTAAACAACCATCTGGGATACCATAGCAACAGTCAGGCAACACCTAAGCAAACACAACAGAACCATCAAGCAACACCCTAACAATAAATCAGAATACCATACCAACCTTGTAGCAACACTATAGCAACTTCCTGGAATTACTGTATAAACCCAATTACGTTCTCAAAAACAATCAACAGTGTTCTGCAACTGCTTTAATTTGGAGGCATTATTAGGTAGCTTTGTCAAGCCAACTTAAGTTTGTTCACAAATTTTCCCTTTCTATTTATTGTTTTGAAGGCTTTTTATTAAATTTTAATTTTTTGTCACAAACGGAAGCGGCAGGAGAGGTGTGAGTTAAACAATTTTATCATTACTCATTACTGTAATGCATGCTAGGATAGGACAATAGGTTAATCAGGGTAATCTCATGTGTATATATATATATATATATATTGTTGCTGTTGGAGCTAAACGACATATGCCCATTTTTGCCATTTTTCGGTTTTTGACATTTTGAAATCTGAAAATGCCTGTTGTTCTTCATATTGTGTGTAAATTTCATGAAGAAAAGACTGGAAGAAATGGTCCAAAATTATTTGGAAAAATGTCTGGTTACATTGACTTACATTAAAAGTACAGTATGTTTTTTTTATTCTTCTGTAAAGTTGTCATTTTGGAGATACAAGGTTTTGTTTCGACAGCAGTGCTATGCATATACTAAGTTATAATTGATTTATGGTGTTTATCTTTTATTTCTACGTAAACTTTGCTGTGCTGGCATGCCAGCTGAGGGTGGATGGGTGGGAGTGAGGGACTGGGGAGAGAGCATTTACTGTATTCGTGTTATCATTGTTCATCTTGTTTTCTTGCTAGTATTTAAAAATGTTCCCAGGGGAGAATTTGCAGTAATATGTTACCAATGTAGTCATTTGAGTGGTGTTTTCACCCCTGACTCCTGCCTGATCATGCGTGGAGACCACAAAACCTTACAAAAAGTCAAAGTAACCTGAACTGCTTTTTTACTTTATTGGTCCAGTGTTCAAATTTTCATAAAAATATATAAGAACAGATTTGCTAAGATATTCTCTCATGTCTATCTCATACTAACATCTGTATTGGTAGAGTAAAATGTTTGTAGTTTTGAATTCATTAGTCACATGTTTCAAACATGTATGAGCAGAATTCAGCAACAGCTCATTGGCTTTTATTACAAGAGAATAAAATCAACAGCTTTTCAGATCTTTTCTGAATACAGAGAAATGTTGAAATTACCATCTGAGGTAGACAGAGATTAGGCTGAAAATGCTGTAGTATTCCTTTAACATCCTGTTAAAAATAAATGCTTATTAATAGCTGACACTTACCATTTGATGCAGTGAAGTCTATGGCCACAGTGAAGTTGAGCTGTGTCCTGAAAGTCCAAAGACAGCATACATTATTACTAAAACACACAATCACAACACATTTTTACAAGCTTTAAATCTAGGCTTTAAAACAATTGTAGTGTGATATTTGCATATCTCTCTCCCTAAGAGACATTAGATAAAACTAATTTACCAAAAATATGCTGATGTTTTAACATGTATATTAAAGGTGTGCCATGAGTACCAGCATACTGATGACCCCTAATCTAATCTCCAGTTCTGAGAACAGCACTGTATTAGCAGCATGAGCAAGCGGAATACAGTAACAGAGTGGCTGAAAAAACACTGGGTCATCACTGCAGTGCGCCTTAGAGAGGCTACTTAGCCCACGTCTATACAAAGCGCAAACCACTCCATCTCTATTAGGAGTTGAAGAACCCATCACTTCACCTGTAAAGGGAAAACAGGAAGCCATGTATTTGGCAGCTAAAAAAAGTCTTAACAGAGCATTAGGCAATATTTTTACTGTCTTACTATTACAAAAATGCTAAAAAAAACACCAAAAAAAAACCCAAGTAAACACATTTTCCACTGTTACACTTGTATATCAATATAATATGTGTAATATACACATGATATAAAGTTGCTCTTATGGAGATATAAGACTTTGTTTTGTCAGTAATGATGCTACTTTACATGCTTCAGCTAAAAAGTGAGCTCCATGTGCTTCAGCTAAAAAGTGAGCTCCGTATACTTCAGCTAAAAAGTGAGCTCCGTATACTTCAGCTAAAGGTGAGCTCCGTATACTTCAGCTAAAAAGTGAGCTCCGTATACTTCAGCTAAAGGTGAGCTCTGTATGCTTCAGCTAAAAAGTGAGCTCCATATACTTCAGCTAAAAAGTGAGCTCCATATACTTCAGCTAAAAAGTGAGCTCCAAATGCTACAGCTAAAAAGTGAGCTCTGTATACTTCAGCTAAAAAGTGAGCTCCATATACTTCAGGTAAGAAGTGAGCTCCATATGCTTCAGTTAAAAAGTGAGCTCCGTATGCTTCAGCTAAAAAGTGAGCTCTGTATACTTCAGCTAAAAAGTGAGCTCCATATACTTCAGTTAAAAAGTGAGCTCCATATACTTCAGCTAAAAAGTGAGCTCTGTATACTTCAGCTAAAGGTGAGCTCTGTATGCTTCAGTTAAAAAGTGAGCTCCATATACTTCAGCTAAAAAGTGAGCTCCATATGCTTCAGCTAAAAAGTGAGCTCCGTATACTTCAGCTAAAAAGTGAGCTCCGTATACTTCAGCTAAAAAGTGAGCTCCGTATACTTCAGCTAAAAAGTGAGCTCTGTATACTTCAGCTAAAAAGTGAGCTCCGTATACTTCAGCTAAAGGTGAGCTCTGTATGCTTCAGTTAAAAAGTGAGCTCCATATACTTCAGCTAAAAAGTGAGCTCCATATACTGCAGTTAAAAAGTGAGCTCAATATACTTCAGGTAAGAAGTGAGCTCCATATGCTTCAGCTAAAAAGTGAGCTCCGTATGCTTCAGCTAAAAAGAGAGCTCCGTATACTTCAGCTAAAAAGTGAGCTCCATATACTTCAGCTAAAAAGTGAGCTCCATATACTGCAGTTAAAAAGTGAGCTCAATATACTTCAGGTAAAAAGTGAGCTCTGGATGCTTCAGTTAAAAAGTGAGCTCTGTATGCTTCAGCTAAAAAGTGAGCTCTGTATGCTTCAGCTAAAAAGTGAGCTCTGTATGCTTCAGCTAAAAAGTGAGCTCCATATACTTCAGCTAAAAAGTGAGCTCCATATACTTCAGCTAAAAAGTGAGCTCCGTATACTTCAGCTAAAGGTGAGCTCCGTATACTTCAGCTAAAAAGTGAGCTCCGTATACTTCAGCTAAAGGTGAGCTCTGTATGCTTCAGCTAAAAAGTGAGCTCCATATACTTCAGCTAAAAAGTGAGCTCCATATACTTCAGCTAAAAAGTGAGCTCCATATGCTACAGCTAAAAAGTGAGCTCTGTATACTTCAGCTAAAAAGTGAGCTCCATATACTTCAGGTAAGAAGTGAGCTCCATATGCTTCAGTTAAAAAGTGAGCTCCGTATGCTTCAGCTAAAAAGTGAGCTCTGTATACTTCAGCTAAAAAGTGAGCTCCATATACTTCAGCTAAAAAGTGAGCTCCATATACTTCAGCTAAAAAGTGAGCTCTGTATACTTCAGCTAAAGGTGAGCTCTGTATGCTTCAGTTAAAAAGTGAGCTCCATATACTTCAGCTAAAAAGTGAGCTCCATATGCTTCAGCTAAAAAGTGAGCTCCGTATACTTCAGCTAAAAAGTGAGCTCCGTATACTTCAGCTAAAAAGTGAGCTCCGTATACTTCAGCTAAAAAGTGAGCTCTGTATACTTCAGCTAAAAAGTGAGCTCCGTATACTTCAGCTAAAGGTGAGCTCTGTATGCTTCAGTTAAAAAGTGAGCTCCATATACTTCAGCTAAAAAGTGAGCTCCATATACTGCAGTTAAAAAGTGAGCTCAATATACTTCAGGTAAGAAGTGAGCTCCATATGCTTCAGCTAAAAAGTGAGCTCTGTATGCTTCAGCTAAAAAGTGAGCTCCATATACTTCAGCTAAAAAGTGAGCTCAATATACTTCAGGTAAGAAGTGAGCTCCATATGCTTCAGCTAAAAAGTGAGCTTCCTATGCTTCAGCTAAAAATTGAGCTCCCTGTGCTTCAGCTAAAAAGTGAGCTTGTTACGGTTTTTACATTTATAAGAGATAAAGTGGTTTGTATTAATTATGATATATGAATTAATGTATTGTAATAAATTATGTGGATAAATTACAACTTAAAATAATGCATTTAAAATGCAGTTTGTTGGGAGTTACTTTTATCATAGGCTGAAATTTTGGGTGAAAGTAGAAGTTCTAAATAAATCAAATTCTTAAATAAAATTTCTAACCATTCTACTGTAATATAGAAATGTACTTGCTTTACAAAGGTCGAACTGTTATACTTGAAATCAAGCATTATTATAATTCATTTATATTGGGCCTCATTCACCAATCTTTCTTCAGAAGAAATTTCTTCTTAAAACTCACTTGCGCAGTTTTCACGAACATTCAGACATTCACCAATGTTTTCTAATTTGGGATTTGTTATTAGATAAGAACAGAATCTACGCACACCCAAGAGCACAAAGATTTGAACAACCTTTCTCAAAAACAAAATAAAGAAAAAAGATATTGGTAAATGAGGCTCATTGTTATTACTCACATATACTTTTTAAGTTTTTAATGATTTATGTTGTACTATTTATGTTGGACAAAGAGAAGCAGATCAAGTAGACAAGCTAAAGATGTTTCAGAGAAGAAATCAGGTTCTACTCTGGGAACTATAACCCTGTAACTATAACCCACATCTGTCATGGTCTCCAGCCAGATGACTGAGGTTTTAACATGACAGTACAGCTGCATGAATGTAGTCAGTTAACTTCTCCAGTCAGACTAGAACCTGATACTCTGACATGGCACAGTGACCCCAGATAAACAATACTGACTGCAAAACAGGAGAGTTTACTTCATTATGCCTGAACTTTACAAGAGCTAGTGTAAATGTAACACTGTGGCTTAGAGTGTTGGAGTAACAGTACAGTCCACAGAGATGGTAGCTCATCACCTCCTTAAACTCCAATGGCTCGAATTTCAGCTCCTCACTTTCGTAACTGCTGTACATAACTTTCACAGGCTATTAGTTAAACAGTGGTTACTGACAGGCCTGTCACAATCATGACATTATAGCAGACAATGAACTGCTGTATAACTAACTGCAATATACAACTGAGTTCATTGTTTCCAACTATTACAGTACAAGCTTAGAGTAGCTGTTTAGCTATTTTGCTTTAGATGTTTAGATATGATAACCCAATACAAAATAATTTGTAATCTAAAAAATCTGTTCCCATCAGATTTAGGAGAGTTATTGTAAAAGATGATTCATCATGCTAGAGTACATGAGGGGTGAAGGAATTTATTATTGTGTAATGTGTTTAGTGCTGTGTTATACATTATTATATGCAGTATTGTGTGTGCATGTGCTGAAATTGTATTTAGGCTGGCTATTTTTGTTTTTCCTTATGTGGTCATGTCTGTCACATCTGTCACTTGTCATGCATAAGCTTTCTAATCTTGGCATCAGTCCAGCTATAAAACTGTGTTAGTCCATTGTTTTACGGGCTGGCTAGATGTGTGGTACCTGCACGCAAGAACTAAACTTCAATTCTCCCGACATACGGCTAGCTCCCTGGTTTGTGATGGGGTTTGGATTCTTCAGGGAGCTATTATAGGATCTGTATACACTTGAGTTATATCCAAAGCAGAGGGTAGAATGGTTAGTGGGAACAATTTTAAGAGGTCTTGGAAACACCTCTAACCTAACATGTACAGCACTCCTTCTGTTAGACATGACAGATTTTACAAAGTATTCTAAGAGGATTTGTCTTTTTCACACATCCAAATCAATAAACCTTTGTACAGAAGTGCAACTTTCACTTTTCACACCATTTAACTCTTAAATGGTAAATGCAGCTTGGACCAGTTTTAGCAGACTGCCAGCTAACAGAACTGGATTGCAACTGTAATCTATTTTTTTCCTGCACAAACAAATCAGCAACACCTAATGGATTTCTGAGTCAACCAGACCCTGAGGCATTTAAATGAAGCACAAAAATCAACAAGCGTGACTCTTCAGCTTACCCTCCTCTGATGAAGTCTACGAACGTGTATTCAGATTCAACTTTAAAAGACAGCAGTGTCACCTTCAGAGAGAGAAAGAAAAAGCATTCTCCATGAGGCGCAGACACACACACTCTTCTACACACACACACTCATACTGAGAACATAATGGATTCTAACAGGTACTCACTGTGCCAGAGTTCACGTATTTCTTCTTCTTTCCTTTCTTTTTCGGATTCAAAACCTGAACAAGGGAAATATGCAGAGACACATATTAAAAAACACTGCACATAGACAAAAAATGTCCAAAAGCCATTTAGCCCAGCCAGCGTGCACCGAGAAAAGTGATGAATTGAAGGATTGAATGTACTATCAAATGTATACATCAGCTCCACATGAATTACTGCAGAAAAAAACAACAACATTCTGTTAATATATTTGATTCATTTTAATCAAGCAAATTCAATCCATTATTATTTCAGTGAGGATTCTTCAGTGCAGCTGAGATGGTATCATGGTGTGTAGCCTGTGGCCAGTGGTGGTGGCCCTTACCTCATACACATTAAACTGGCTCTGACCCCGGGACAACTCTCTGTAACTGGTGGTGAACTCTCCGATAAAGTCATGACTGGAGGAAAAAGAGAGAGAGAGAGATAGAGAGAGAAAGGGATTATATTGAAAGACATTCACTCTGTATGATTTCTCCAGAACATCTATCCCCTCTCAGCCTTTCATTATTTGAGTGACATTTCCTCAGAATCATAAAAAATGACCTCACCATCCACTCTCTGTAATGACCCTGGACACCATTTGTGCTGCTGTTAATAAATCTACTGTGATATTTGCGGTGGGGGGGTATATGAAATCCGTGTGTGTGTTTTTGTGTGTTTGTGTGTGTTTGTACATTTCTGGGACAAAAACATTCTATCTGTGTAGAAAAACCAGAGACACCAGATTTCAGAAAATTGATTTTTTTTAGCAATTATGGCTCGTAATTGACTGTAAATAATTTCCTTTTTTTTACATTTTCACACACACACACACACACATACACACACACATTTTCTAAGCTGCTTATCCTTCTGGCCCGGGGGAGGGGGTGGAGCCTATCCCACCAGTCATTGGGTGGAAGGCAGAAAACACCCTGGACAGGTTACTTAATTTACACTTAATTTTATTAAACAAGTAATTTGTTAATCCTTGTTTACATTTGGTCTCTGAACTGTTACTATGCACACCTTGCAAACTATAAAATATCAGGAAAAAGTGCCATCAAAGAACACTGTTCAATTTTATAATTTCCAGTCAAAACAGCTTTTAAGTGCAAGTTATTCATTTTTCTGGAGATCTGTCTGAGGAGATTAGATATAAGATAATCCACTTGTATAAAGAACAGAAAGGTTAAAAGAAAATAAGTGAAAAAACAGGGGTTTTCAAAATAAAAGTTCAAAAATGATTAAATTAAATGTAACCAACACTTAAAGTTTCTTCTATGAGAGAGAGGAGAAAATCAAGCTCCACCCTCCTTCAGATCTGAAAATATCCACAAGTGTTTCTGTCCATCCTTCCACTGTGAGAAGACAACTCAACACTATAATTCTGAAAGGATGTGTAGCTGTCACAAACCCCTGACTGAGAAAAGGAAACAGACAAGATAACTTGCTAATCAAATAAAGAAGCTGCTGGTGTTCTCAGAAAAATTGACTGACCAAAAATTTGACATTGCAACCAACGTCAAAGACTGAACTTGAGGTGTTTTCTGCTTTTTTTTTCTCCTGAGGCTGAGAATGAATTACTTAACTGCCATCTTAACTGGACATTAAATAAATGAAGGGTTTTGCTCAGTCCTGTATGGTTAATACATATGGGACATATGGTATGTGTAGGATGTCCTGTCCTGTGTGTGTGTGTGTGTGTGTGTGTGTATGTGTCTGTGTGTGTCAGATGACTGAACAAGGTGAAGGTAAGAGGAAAACAACAAGGCCCGTGTCATTTCCCTCTCGTTGGCCTCTGTCTTTCTTTGATAGCACATGCATGCACCTTCTGCTTCCCCTCTATCAGACCCTAACTCTTCTCCTCCTGCCCTCATCCTTCTCTCTCACAAAGTCACCACTCACAAGCGCTATCCCACTCACTCTGACATTCCCCAACTGTTCAGAGAGAAGAAAAGCACAAAGCAATGATATATAGCAAAGAGTAAAAGATTATGCTTACCTTCCGTCCCGATCCCAGTCATACACATCTATCTTAACAGTCCTGCAGGAAGTGAAGAGAGGAGAGTGACAGTAAGAGAGGAGAGAAGTAGTGAAAGAAAGACAAATAAGTACAAAAGAGAGGGAGTGAAGGATTGCAATCACATCTGGGATGTTGAGGGAAAAAAGCAACACAAATATTTTAGCATTTTAAAAGCCTGCTCACAGGTGAAAAAAGGGACGTCCTGGGGACGGGGTTTGTGCTTGTTATTCAAATTCACTCCAATTTGTTATGGGCAAAACAGATAATTGCAGAGAATAGCAGAGAAATCACTTACAGCAGTGCAGTCACACACACACACACAAACAAAAAGCCACCCGATCTTTTGTTATTATTTGGACATTATCATCAAAACCTTATTCTTATTCAACAGTGAGAGCGCACTCCAGCAGAGTGCTTTTCAAGGTTGTCCTGCAGAGATGGGGAACAATTTAGCTTCGCATTTGAAAAGGGACAAACACTCTCGTAACATCTCAAGGATGGGAAAGTTTGGTATGCTTGGTTGTTTGCATATTTTTCTGAGTATTTCACAGTCAGAAAGACACAATGTTTTTCTGTATGTCTGGTTTGTATGAATGTACATATGAATGTCCTTTTGAATATGTGTCTGTATGCTTGCGAATATGCTGAACAGTCATGTGGGCGTGTCCAAGTCCTAAATCTCAGGATGAGTTCTACGCCAGCTGTGCTTCAGTTCTGTATCTATGTGTGGATGCTTTTCAACATGCTGTCCTTGTATGTGTGAGTCAAGCTGGTGTGCACAAGTTCTAAATCTCAGTGTTGAGTGCAATAACACCAGCGCTGGCCTGATGAAATAATCGGCCGACTGCTGGCATTATTCTGCCCACCACTGAGAGCACAACAAATCCCACAATCCTTCTCTCTGCCTGCAGCTGAATGAGCAATCCAAACATATGCAAGCTTAGAAAGAGACGCTGGCTTCTCTTGGCTCTGGCTGGAGATAATGCCTGAGGGCAGAGCGCTGTTGGGTTGAGACTGGCTTGAGCAGAGGCCGTGATGGGTTATGAATCCTGAAGTTCAATAACTGCTATAGGCAGATTCATAACCTTGAAATAAGCTGGAGTTTATGTCCTGCTTATATACACTACTGTTCAAAAATTTCACCTGTCTAATGATAATAATGCTTGTTATTTTATATACAATAACTGCAATGCAGATAACTACTATATATGAGTATTTTTAGATTATTTATTCAATATTCCAAGTATTTTGTAACAACCAGAATGATAAATAATATTGTCTACCACTTTATCACATTATATCATTTCTAATATTCTAGAGTTGTCATTATTTACCTCAAGATTTACCCAACACTTTGTAAATATGAGATATTCTGGATATCAATTTATAATAATAATAATATAATAATAATAATATTAATAATAATAATAATTTTTATTTATACAGCTCTTTCCATGCTGGTGTCCAGTTGACAGACAGGTGATAAACAGTAATACAAGAAATTTTAAGTATTAACTTAGAATCATATAAGAAAATGACAAAGATCAAAATAAAAGATAAATACCATGAGAAGTAGAGTTTTAATTAAATGCTAAGTTAAAGAGATACGTTTTTAGACGCTTCCTAAAAGTGAGCACTGAGCTTGACTGTTTAATAAAAGGTGAATTGAGCTCCACAGTTTAGAAGTATATAACTGAAAGAGTCTCTACACGTTTTCTGTATTTTACAGAAGGTATTTGCAGAAGGTCAGTATCTACAGATCTATGATCATGTGTTGGAACTTAAACAGACAGACATTCTGTGATGTAAGTGGTGCTTTAAGGTCATATAGAGCCTTAAATACTTGAAGCAGAACTTTAAAATCTATCCTGAACGATACAGGTAGCCAGTGCAGTTCTTTTAAAACAGGAGTGATACGATCTCTCTGTTTAGTTTTTGTTAGGATCTGTGCTGCCATATTTTGTATGAGTTGTAAAGGATGTATTGTTAGGAAGTCCAGTAAGAAGATCATTACAGTAATCAAGTCTGCTTGTAACAAATGCATGAATATGTTTCTCTGCGTTGAGATAGAAATGGCTGAACTTTAGCAACATTTCTCAAATGATAGAAAGTTACTTTAGTGATTGCGTTTACATGCAGGACAAAACAGAGCTCAGAGTCCAAGATCACACCCAAGTTTCCTATTTCATGTTTGTAGAGTTGTTCTCAATGCCATACAGACCCCCCTTTTTTAAAACCATCTGCATTATTGTTTCTATTTTTTTGTTTTGTTTTTTAGAGCTTCTACACCTTCCTAATTATGAAGTTGCCTCATTAGAATGAATCAATAAATGTACCTGCAACCAAACTGGTATTATATTATTGAAAATATTGATTTTAAACTTCTGAATTATAGTCATTCAAACTCATTCAGCCATTAGCTGAGCAGCTCCTGCTAAGCTAGAACAGCTCACCTGTCGTAGTCGCCATTACAGAGCGCACGCACGGGAATAGTGAAGGGCTGCCATACTGGATTCAGTGTGTTCTTGATCACCTCTGTCTTGTGGCAGATAGTGAACCTACAACATACAACACACAGTTCTTCTTATGCAACTCACATTAATCATCACAAACGATGGGGGAAAGGGTCAGCAAGAAAGTGTGCTATAGACAGAAAGAGAGAAAAAGAAGAGGGAAAGAGAGAAAATGAGAGAGTAAGGGAGACAAAAAGAGAGAAAAAGAGGGAAAGAGAGAGAGGGAAAGGAAGAAGTATAGGAAGGGAAAGAGAGAAAGAAAGTGAGGGTGACAGGGCTGGAAGAGGGAGGAGAGAGGTGAGAGAAAGAGGGAGAGAGCAAGAGATAGAGAGAGGGTGAAAGAGAGAAAGGAAGAGAGAGAGGGAGAAATAAAGGAGAGAGGGAAAATGAGAAAGACAGAGAGAAGAAGAGAAAATATAGAAAAAAGAAAGAGGGAGACAAAGAGAGAGAAAAAGGGAAAGAGAGAGAGGGAAAGGAAGAAGTAGTGGAAGGAAGAGAGAAAGAGAGGGTGATAGGGCGAGAGAGAAGAGAGGTAAGAGAAAGAGGGAGAGAGCAAGGGATAGAGAGAAAGCGAGGGTGAAAGAGAGGAGGGAAGTGAAAGAGGGACAAAGAAGGGAGAGAGGGAGAATGGGAAAGACAGAGAAGAGAGAAAGAGAGAAAATAGAGAGAAAAGAGAAGGGAAAAGAGAGGGAAAGAGGTAGAGAGAATGGAGAGAGACGGAGAAACACAAAGAGAGAGAATATCCTCTTTGCCATCTCACTCACGTTCCATCCTCGTTGCTGCGGTAGAAGACCAGGAAAGGATCAGATTTGCCGAAGAAGTCCTTCTTGTCCAGTTTATTGGCACACAGCTGCATAGTAGCAATATCCTGCAGGGATAAACACATGGAGAGGGTGGGCGAACTAGGAAAAACACACACATACACACTTTCATACCAGCAGAGCTGAGGAAAATCCCCTTCTTCTGAAGCTGCTTCTCACCACGCTACACAAACAACAGAGCTGACCTCTACAGTCACTCCAAACCAGCACAGAGAGTACGATACAAGATACCTGAAAGAATGGAAATCAAGGTCTAATATGAAGACATGGGAGGGAATGGATGTAGCTTTTCAAGGACATAAGGACACAGGCCTCAAGACCCTAAGGGAACATTTACATTCCACACAATTATCTACGAAAACAAATACACACAGTCTTTTTTCACGCGCTCGCTCTCCTACACATACACACTCACTCACAGAAGTGTGAAATAAGACAGCTCATCTGCCCTGTGTAAATATGCTGTAATGAGGGTTTTATCCTGCTGGAATCACAGGCGGTGAAGCACTGGCAAAAACAAACACTCCCTCTCACTTCTCCACATTTCTCTCTATTTACCATATTAATGTGAGCTGCATACTTCTCATATCCATCGCACATAATCTCATCCGCATTAGCCTCCCACCTCTGAAGAAGGCTTTAAGCTTTTTCAGGTTATTAAAGACTAGGGGATATGTATCTGTTTGGTGTTCATCATGAGTACAATTGGGCTTTTTCCATAGAAATGCTGCCTTAAAATATTGCATATAGGGGAACTAATATAATTGAAACAGAGGTGTTTTATTGGAGTGATTATACAAATTAGAGTCATTACAACACCGCTAAGCGCTAATGGTGAAGTAGAACTGAACTGAGTGAGAAGTCTATAACTCCCTCAGGCTGGAAGTACAGCAGCAGTCAGTTATTAGAACTTCACTTATGCTGATCTGAGGAATACATGATTTGGTGATAAAGGGCTTCAATATAAAGGGCCTCAGTAGTTCTGCTCTTGAAGCAAATTCATAACTTGGGTTGAATGAAATGTAAATGTGTGGTGTTTAATGTTACTTCTCAAATGTTGCTGTTGCATTTATTCTGAAATGTAAAGAACAAAGCCAAAAATGAGCAGATTTACATTTCTGCACAAGAAAATAAATAGGAATATACTGAAATATACTTCTGTGGGTATGCAAGTTAACATCAGAGGTGGACATTATCACTAATTTTCTTTTCGATCCAATACCAAGTAATACCAAGGCTAATATACTGATACTAATACCAATACTCCCACAGTATTCTCAGTTCCTTAAACACTTTTGTATATTTAAAAGTGATATTCTCAAAACAGTTAACACACAATACTAAGCAAAGCCTTGCTGGCCAAAATAACACACTCTTTGCAAAATGGTTAAACCTTCTCAAAACACTAAACACACAACACACACTTTTCAATCTATCAGTACAACTTACAATCAGCAGAGTAAATGCCTTTAATCACTGACACAACACAATTAACAAATGACACAGGTTGCAATTTCACAGGTTTTAGCCTTCATTATTACTGTACATCGATGCTGTACTATCTGCAAATACTTTACTATAAACAGTTCTAGAATGAGCCAAAATGCAAAAATATGACAATGTGGAACCAGTTCAGTGCAATGTACTGTTATTATCACAGCTATCATTAGTATCACGGTTTGGGCCTGTTTTGCTGCATCTGGGCCAGCACAGCTTGCCATCATAGCTACAACAATGAACTCTGAATTATACCAGCAAATTCTAAAGGAAAATGTCAGGACATCTGTCCCTGAGCTGAAACTTAAGAGAACGTGGGTCATGCAGCAAGACAATGACCCTAAGCACACAAATCGTTCTACCATAGTATGGTAAAAGAAGAATAAAGTTGATATTTCGGAATGATCAAGTCAAAGTCCTGACCTTCCTTAATCCTGTAGAAATGTTGTGGAAGGACCTGAAGCAAGTAGTTCATGGGAGAAAACCCACCAACATAACAGAGTGGAAGCTGTTTTGTATGGAGGAATGGGCTAAAATTCCACCAAGCTGATGTGCAAGACTAACCAATAGTTACCGGAAATGTTTAGTTGCAGTTATGCTGCACCTGGGGTTCACACCAGACACTGAAAGCAAAGTTTCACATACTTTTGCCACTCACAAATATGTAATATTGGAATATGTAATAATATGTAATAAGAAATAAACGACCAATTGTAATAATTTTGTGTCATTTGTTTAATTTGGTTCTCTTTAGCTACTGTTAGGACTTGTGAAAATCTGATGAAGTTTCAGGTCAAATTTCTGCAGAAATACAGAAAATTCTAAAGGGTTCACAAACTTTCAAGCACCACTGTATAAGCCCTGCACAAAAAGCAAAACACAACAAAACTAGGCTAAAACATAGATTTCACCTAAAAAATCCAGAAACAAATATATTTACTCCCTTTTTCTTTTTTCTGTACTCCTAAAATGCATGTGCGAGTGTTGGAGGACAACATTGTCCAAAATGATGCTCCATGGTGCTCTACTCAGATCCTCAGCCTGGGTATATCAGTAGGGGGACTGACTGTGTCAAAGGAGCTCGGATAGAAGGCCTTGCCATTCATTCCATACTGAACTGAAATTCAGACAAAAAATTACATGTCGTCATTCACTGCAGGTCCATGACAGAAGGTGAAAAAAGGATCAAACCTAAATGTTAACACATTCGCAACAAGACATTACTGCTTTGCTAAGAAAGTGACAAAGAAGATTAGGTCGACCCCAGTTTCACTAATTGTGTTTTAGGAATTAAAAAAAAAACTGTAAAAGGAAACTGTGGATAATCTCTACAGTAAAAACCGCAAAAATAAGCGTTTGCATTAGTACTAAACATCGTTTAGGGAAAAAGCGCCAAATGATCTGACAGATGAGGATCGACTCTCAAAAAGAATCTGGATTGGAAGTATCAATATTTCAGTATTAATCTGCACACACCTAGTAAAAAATCTGCATCAAGATACAGAGAAGGGATTCCTGTGTCATCGGTGATCACAAAGGCTTGCAGAGGTCATGTCCTGCCCAACTCAAAGATCTCAACTACATGTTGTGTGAATCTGCAGAGTAGTGGGACTGAGCAAACGCTGATTAGCCATCATATCAATAGCACTGGGGACAGGACATGACCCTAACAATGCTCAAACCAAACCAGAACGAGCCCAAAATAGAGCTGCTGGCAGAAGAGATGTGATATTTTATTATAAGACCCATGTTACATTTATAAGACTCATCTATTACAAAAAATATTTAAGCAAAAATTTTAAAAAGTCCTTATAGGAAAGTCTTTCCACTTGATGGCCATCTTGGCAACACCCCCAGGCAGTTAGTTCCAGTCATACAAGATCAGGTTCCTGTCTATTCGAATGGGGACAGACTTCTAAACTAAAGACCACATTAACATTCTATTTGTAATCTCTGGTAAAATCTGCCAAAAACAAAAACAGTTTGTATTGTTTGGATCAAATAACACATAAAGCATGTTTTTTCAGGTTGTTCTGGCTAATGGGTATATCTCCACAAGGGAGGGCTTTTCCTGCTTCAGGCTTAACTAGCAAGCTAAAAGAGGGTCATTTGACTGAATGGGGGGAATTTCTCCATAAGTAGATGGCAAGTTTTCCCATCCATTTTTCAACCAGTGACCTGTCTCCTCCTTTGTAAAGTCTCTGGTATTAATTCTTGGAGAGAGATAACAACTTTCTTGAGACTTTTTTCTTTGTTTTCTGTACATTCTGTTTTTTTACACTGTACCCTGGTGACATTACATGCGAACAAAACATGTGCACATGTTTCTTTGTTTGCAGATGAAGAACAGTAATATGGCTTTCAGGAACCTTATAATGTTAATTTTCTATCTTCTATTCAATAATAAGCACTTACTGATCTAAATTCTGTTCTGAAGGTGTACATATGCTTGCTCAGATACTATAACAGTGCAGCCAACAATAAAGACAGCTAGAGTACATGGTAGTGTACAGAAAGCTCCTGTTCCACATACTGATCCATCACCTTAAATGTGGACATGCATGTGTTATAACTACTCTGGGAGGATATTTTAACAAGTGGTACGAAGCCAAAGTCTCTGAATGTATCACCAGCAAGATGTTAGGTAGTTTTTAATTAAAACAAGACGAGAGAGAAAATTCCCTCTAACAAGAAGCTTGCCTTCTAAGCTTTGTCAGAAGCACACACAGTAATTACTTCTAAGTGTTGAATGTCTTTATTGGCTTAAGAGGAGCGTTTACTGTTGAAAAAAGACTTGAACTCATCTAACATGGATTTTTTGCAATGATCCTGACAAGCAGATGGTTGGCAGGATGCATCAGTGACGTGACTGATTCAATACAGCTCAGAGCGCAGTAGTAGGTCTTCCCTCTAACATACAATAGCAGGGCAAGAGCCAGAAAACTACCAGCTCAGCTTTTCAAATTACAGAACATTCAGCATTAAAAAGCATTTCAGCAGCAAGTGATTAGAGCTGCATGAAACAGACAAGGCCCCATATTGTGATTAAACCACTATACATTACAATTGCACTACAGCTTGCAATATATTAAAAGGCCACTGGGAAAACCTTTATAGAACACACTCAAAGACTGGTCTGTACTAGTTTGACCAAAATCAATTGCGTTTGTTGGATCATGTGGCCTTGACTAATTAAAACATTCATATGGAATATCTGAGATCGGTCGGGATGCGCACAAGATGTTGTGGTTAGAAGGCTAATCTGGATATTTCAGTGTTCTGCCATATCAGCACTGCAAAAGACCACTTTGCCCAGATAAGATCACTTTCCAATATTTTTGAAACTACATGCAGGATAAGTTCTGCAAATGCAACATTTCTGCATATTCTAATCATTTCCTATTGTGCAATATGTATAGTCACTCTTACTTTCCTGCAACATTCCTGGTAGAGGACTTATTTTCATGTTGTTTCTTGTCATAGTAACTGCATATATCTGCAGTTTTTCAGCCCTGGTTTCATCAACTGCTTACTACTGTTACTACTGTGT